CATTTTAACACTTGTGTGTGAACAATTTCCATTCTATCATCAGGCAGAAAAAAGACAGGCTATAGGCAGGAAGTAGTGCACTTTGTATCAACCTACAGTAAGTCTACAGAGGACCTCAGCCTTGCTTCTGGTGTCAGTTGTTTTCCAGAGAAGCAGAAGCTGTGCTCAGTCTCAAAGTTCCTGTTATTAATACATTTCTAGTGAAGCCACTCACGCACAGTAAGAAGACATTGCCAAGGAATTAGAATCAAATGAGCTGCCTCAGGAGGAAAGGCAAATGGAGTCAGTCGTGCACCCAGCCTGCCTCAGGGCAGGCCACGAGACCCTGACGTTGCACTGCTGCAAAAGGGAAATTGAGAGGCACATGTGATGTGAACTGACTTGTTAGCCCCCATCGTGTGTTGATTTGACCTCTGTTTATCGAGCTGCTCATGGCTGGTTTCATCACATACTGTAAAAAAGGCAGCATGATGTTAGTATGTGCATTCTAGACACTGGTTAGATTTAAGATGGTAAGGCTGTTCTCTTAACCTAGTCTTGGTTAAAGTGTACACCACAAGGAAAGCAGGAAGCTCATAATCCAAATACTGTGCAAAATATTCTGTTTCATAAGCACGTAGTTTAATTGCTGTGATGTTCCTGTGGTTCAGGTTTGCAGCAATGTGCAGAGACGCCAGAAATAGGAAACTCCTTCTCAGTGAAAACAGGATCTCTTAAGGCTCATGTTTAAGCCATGAAAGTAGAAGTGGGAGTCTGCTTTAGAAGTATAATTCCCTTCTGCTCTTTTTCACTTTCATGTCTATACACCAACAATATTTTCTGTGCCTCATGACATTAATGAAGGAGGAAGTCTTATTTTTCATGGGAGACATTAAAGAACATGAACAAGAGCTCAGTTTTTTTATTTAAAAAATGATCATGCTGATTGTACATGACCGGCTTTAACTGTCAAGCTTTTTGAGCTACTTCAGTAGCTGGTGATCTCTTTCATTTTTATCTCTACTGATGTTTACTGCCTTCTAGTTGAGGCGCAGGCAGTGGATGAAGTTCTTCAGCTCTTGCAAAGCCGGTCATGAGTTTCATTAGGCCATGCTGAGGCTTTGAACAGAAGTTTAGTGGCCACATAATACTGTGGAATGATGTATGATTTTGTGCTCCCTCTGGACAGTAGGCGTGTCTTACCACAGTCCACCAACCCACTAGGTAAAGTCTACATTCTAAACGACAACATTTGAATGAAGTACAATTAAGTAAAGCTGGTTGTGGGGTAGATAAACTAAGATGGGAAGGGGGGAGGTGGAGGTGTAGCACTGTATAGGAAAAAGCTCATTCAGGCAGAGTAAAATAACCTAGATGAGTCCAAAACCTCATAATCTACATAGGTCACGCTTATAAAAAGCATTCAAAGTGCAAATTGTTAGGTGTATATATTAGGTTGCCAAAATCAGGTATCAGATATGATTCAGTCTTATATTATGAAATCATATATGAAGAAGTGATTACTGTTAGAGAAATGGACTTTTCCTCACATAGATTGGAAAAAAATCATTAAATGCTCTCAGCAGCTGAAACTGAAATGGTGGAAATGGCTCATGGCTACCTTGCCTATCTGTGAGAACACCTGCCAGAGAGAATGAATTGATCCATTCTATTCAAACAAGAGTGAGGAAAACAGAGGTTAGAGAAACATTAGGGCTCTGCAATCATAATATGATATATTCTGTGGTATAGCTGCAGAAGTAAAGATTTACAATTCTAGCACACCTAAATGAGAGTTTAAGAATGTGATAGGATAGATGTGAAACAAGCAGAGAATGGATGGCAAATGTTAATAGAAAAATTATGATTAATCATAATTTAAAATCATAGATTAATTTAAAGGACAAGTAAATCAAACTTACAATAGCAATGAAATGCTTAACTAAATAATAACGAACATGCAGTATGGAAGGACAGAAGGACAAAAATGACCAAACAAAATTCAGTTAAATGGAATGTATAGTATCTTGCAAAAGTCTTCACTCCCTTTCAATGATTACCTATTTTCTTGAATTACAAAAGATAGATACACTTTATAAAGTATTTATAATAAAAAACATGCTTGAACTGAACATTTTTATGGGTAAAAGAAGTTAAATGCTACATCTACAAAATTCTAAAGTAAAAAAAGAAAAATAACTTGTATCGCTCAATTTCCTTTTGTTTTCGAGATATGCAATCTAAAGCTCATCTCCAGTTTCTCATTTGCCAGTCTGCACTTACGTAATTTGTTCAAACAGGCCGACAGCACGAAACAAGTTCACTTATTTTTTTTAAACTTCTGCGAACAGCGGTTGTATACTTCCTGTATTTTTGCAACCAGGTACTTGTCATGCCAGAAGCAGTTTGAGTAGACATGCTGTCTTGCTGAAGCAGGAAAAATCATTCAACAGTTTGGGCATCGTGAAAGGAGCACTTTCCACAACCTTTCTTGTCTGCCGTGAAGAAGGTACGTGTTTGACCTTGAGGTCTCTCTCAAATCGTGCCTTTTGTCAAGTTCGTGTTCTGCAGTTCGGGGTGGTTCAAACAGCATGGCTGTCTTACTGCAAGGTTGAGATATTCTATTTTTTATGTAAGTTAATACTTGGTTTGAAATAATTTTCAGTCTGTTCATGAAACTGAGGTTAGCTTGCTAAGTCTGTATCGGTTCATATTTTTTTGTTTTGAGAGTCTTATGATTTTCTTTTGTAACAGTGTTTAGTGCCTCCTTCTTTCGGAACGCACATGATGGTAAAACACGTGTGTCATCTGGGGCTTAGTCACTTACCATCCATTATGCTGGCTGCTCGAGTAACTGGCCTGTGACAAGAAGTTAGGAGCAATCTGAGCCGGGACTTGTGGAGAGAATTCATTAACATAAACCTGTTGAACAATCAGTCGATTCCTCTTCCTTTTCGATTCATTCACGCCAGCATTAGGTCAGAGATTTCTCTACCAGAACTATTCAAAACTATTTGGAATAAAAGTTTTGTGCTGTCCAAATCTGACCATTCCTCCATGAGAAAGAAAGCTCAAATGCACAACAGCACCAGGTAAGACTCTTCAAAGGAAGAGTAAACTTTACAATGTAAAAACTGTTTTGTATTTTTCCTTTTCCTTCAGAAGGACATTGTACAGTTTAAATTAAACAGAGTTTAAATCCTGATTTTTCCAGATTAGTTCCTATGAGTATGAAAGAGCCCAAACAGTGAACCTTATTATTATTATTGACATGTCTCATACGTAAAGACAGCTTGTATTAAAGGCTATGTGAAACTTAGTCTGTGCAGTACTGAGTAACTCTTGTAAAGATGTGGACAGTTTTACCCTTCTTTACCACAAGCCTGGAGTTCTAAGCTGTCTGACATATATGTAGGCGATAATGATGAGGGTAAAGTTCACAGGTTGTCTGGGCCTCCGCTCACCTTGGCTTCTGTAGCATTAAGAGGACTAGAGAGCACGTTACTCTCATCCTGGACATTTTAGGCAAGAAGGCAGAAATGATTGCACTTCTATTAAGTAAATTCCTGTGGGTTATATATGAAAGAAATGAACATTTTGTATACCCTCTCCACCAGCTCGCAACTTTCTCCTTTATCATTGCATTAACTCGTTTTCCAGAAAGAGAGCTCACAGGACGTACAGATGTGACGTGTTACAAAAGCTGGTGGTTAGAGAATGGTTTGGTGCTTTTTTCAGTTGGGCTTAGCTGGGCGTCGTTACTCGAAGACTGCTTGCGTGTCCTGCACTTAGACAGCCTTGAGGATGCCAACACAGAGACTGTCCTCGAACTTTGCTGAAAGGGCATAACAATCGTTGTAAATATCATTGTGTACACCTGCATTCCTGTCACAAAAGGTCCCCAGTGAGAAAGTTCTGCTGACCGTCCAGCGACCTTTCTGGCAAAGCTTTTTCCTCCATGTTGCTCTGAGTGCTCACAATCTCTGAAAGTTTACCAGGCCGGAGGCGTTGCATGTTTAGTACATTGATAGTTCATGGTAAAAGCACATTACAGTGTAGCAGAAGTAAACAGAAACCGAGGGCAAAGCACAGCCAGGGTGCATGACTGCCAGTCAGTGCATGAATGGTGAAAATCAGAAGGAGCTGCTGGATTTCAGTGTCCCACCCTAAGAGTGGAGGGATGAATTCTCACAGCTACGTCAGCCCTCACGCTGGCAAACAAGACAGCCTCTGGCTATTGCTTTTCTGTCTGTGCATGGCACTGCACACCTGATTTTGCCATCAAGCAAACTGTGGTAAAAGTGACTGGCTAATTTAAACAATATGGAATGGACAGTGTGCCTCCAGGTTGCCACAGTCTTCTTATCGGCCATAGTTTACCTCAGTGTTTCAGGTTTAACACCTGTCCTTCCGATTTAGTCGATGCACTTCGTGTCTGATGTTGAATCTCACTGGTGTGGCTGTTCTTTCTCCTTCCCCACCCCTGTTTTTTTTTTTGCTGTGTGTTGCTTGGGTGTATCCACTTCTACAGCAACAAAACAGCCCCCCCCCGCCCCCCCCGCTTCTCGTGAACCGAACAGGAAAGCTATAACTGCTTTCGAGTGCAGCACGAGAGATAAAATCCTTCATAAACTGTTTGCCTTTTATTTCACTAAAGATAGTAGAAAAAACAGCATCTTGTACTGTAAATAACTAAAAATCTCCCGCTGCATAGTGACATGTGGCACATGTGCTTAACACAGAGATGGCACATTGATTCACACGGATTCAGGCTGAATCCCCTGCAAAATTCATAGAAGGTGCAGTGATGGAGTTTCTGGCTTCTGTGCAGCTGATTCAGAAGCAGCTGCAGGTGAGCAGCAGTCAGTCCTGGTCCTTCCAGTGAACTTTTGAACCAAGAGCACGGTCACGCATGTCACAGACTGTGAAGCGAAGGGACTCTTGCCGAAACCGCGAGCCCAACTGCCGATGAGAAAAATCTGAAACGGAAACAATTTCTCACTTCGCAGCGCCCCACTGAGTGCGGCTTCATCGCAGTGTGTTGACAGACACGACACGGAGCTGATGCTCACACACACAGGACGAACGGCCCCTCAAAGCTTTGTTTAATTCGTGGTGAGAACTACTGCTTTACCCAAGTTTCTTTTTCTTTCAGCCATGAAGGAATAAAGGAGTGGAAAAGATGGTCTTTAAATATGTTTTCCTCTACTAATGAACTACAGTAAACTACAGTAATAAACTACCATCTTATTTTGTAAATAAATAGTAACAGGTCGGGCTTCTCTTCTTCTGTGAACATCCACCACCAAGACACTCTTAGGAGCCAAAATAAGAAGGGGATATGAAACATTGATTATGTCATAAAGCTTTAGTAGTTACTTATCATTTATTTTTTAATCTTGGTTTGGACTTCCTGCAACACAAAATAATTAATTCTTAACATCAAAATAAAATTAGTTTGCTGGAAAGAATCTAGATCTTTAGATCATAGAAGAAAATATTGCTTATTACCTTTCTTTTTTTGTGTTAGACAACAAGTGAGGAAAATATTGTACATCTATTAATATTTAGCTAAAGGATAAAAAACTGAAGGTTTGCATATAAAACTATTTAATTTAATTTTATGTCATTTAAATGATAGAAAACCTTCCAATCAGAGGTCTTTGTACTCAGAATGTACAGCACACTGCAAGCACAAGATGTCTTGCACTGAAAATGTTAACATAATCTGTTAATTTAAATATTAGCAAGACATTCCCACAGGACAGCAATCTAACTACAGTGCAAATTTCCCCCTGCATTTGAGGTCTATGTCATTCTGAAGTAGCAGCAAAAGCCTTTTTCAGGCTTTAAAATAAGAGACCCATCAGTTTACAAGTATATGACTACAAACAGGAGGTGACTCCTGATAAAGTATAAATCTGTTGGTTAAAGTAAGTATTGACTTAGCAAAGTCATCACATTGTATGTTTCTTTTCCGTTGCAGAACACAAGCGCTCCTGTGTGCAGATGGCTGAGGTTTGGAAGATCATACTGTTGAGCTTCATATATTTCCACCCAGCTCTCCTTGAAAAAGGGGATCAAATTGACCCAACTATTCCATCTTCAAATTCATCAGAAAGTTCTACTGTCCCAGATCTAGAAGAAAGTCAGCTGAACAACACCTTGGCTACAGCACAGCACATGACAACAAGCATTAATAATCATTTACCAGAGGAGAAATCCAACGCTTCTATCACAGCAACCACTGAAAATGTTGAAACAACCATGGGATTTAACACATTGGGATTGTCAACCAGTCCAGCCTCAGCAACAGGAGAGGAGATTTCCACTGTAACTCATACCCAGCAAAGTAGTGTCAGCGTCTTTTCAATCATTAAAGAGACTACCCCTACTGCTACAGTGGAGAACACCACTGAATATATAACACATAGCATAGAGAGTGATACCTTCAGCACTGCAATTACTGCTCATTCAACTGCTAACTATGTGTCTACTGATTCTGTGTCTTCTACCCTAACATCTGGGATGACATCATCCTCCTCTTTTGAAAATGAAACCGTAACAATGACATCACCATCAACGACATCATCTCAGTCTCTTGAAAATGATACAACAATTGTGACATCACACTCTCCCGAAAACGTTACCACAACTGCTTTCGACTCTCAGACCAGCCAATCTGAGCCCACCACAAGCCCTGAAGTGACGGCAGTGTCTTCAAGTGCCTCTACATCCTTCAGTCTGACCACCAGCAATTCCACCGATTCCTCCATGGCGGGTTTGATACCCAGGATGATTCCCAGAAAAACACCCAAGACCACCCAGAAACCACCCAGCCCGACCACCTCAACTAGAGCAAACCCTAGGGCCAGCACTTCAACCCACTCCATACTCCCCTGCAACCCACAAACACCCAAAAGAGATGGTCTGGTGAGCCAGTGCTTGATTGCCATTGCTGTGTTGGCTGGGGTGGCCACCATCTTCATGGTCTGCACTATAGTGCTCTGCACAAAGCTCTCCAGCAACAAGCAGAGGTACAGGGTAAAGGAGGCAAATGGCACAGAGCTTGTGTGCATCTCTGCACTGCTCCCTGATGGCAGTAACTCCTACAGGAGCAGACCCAAGACCCAGAAGAGCAATGGAGCCCTCTGTCCCAACACGGACGACAGTGAAGGAGATGACCTCACCCTACACAGTTTTCTCCCAGACCATTCTTGAAAGGTACAGGAAAACCTTTTCTCTCCTCCCTGAGGATTTGTTTTTCCAGCTTTTGACTTCCCAGTTGCAGAAGGAGTATTTACCTTGACTTTGTTCTATTATTTTTAAATTGCTATTTTTCAGGCCCTGTTGTAGAGCACAAACTGCTTCTTGTGAATGGAATACTGGAGGCATGAAATTGACAGAGCTCTTTGTGAAAGAGCAGATACATGATCATAAAAGACCCTGTCTGGAAAAGATGGACATGCAGAATTTACCCAGAAGCCATATGTTTATTGGGAGGTAGTGTACACGCTTAATACAAAGGAAACTCTTGTTCCATAATGTGTTCAGTGCTCAAACTCTGGTATCATTTAATGAAAAGGTCTAATGGTGAGCTGGTGTACTGAAAGCTGGACAGTTCACATATAGAGCCATGGACGTTCAGAGAAAAGCCCTCTAAAATTGTATCCTTAATTGCCAGTTGAAAGAAACATATTTTGAGGAGTTTATTAGCAGTCTCTCACATGCCTATGGCTCTAAAACTGAAAACATTTCAATTTGTAATTAAAAGTCTGCTAGGTGCTTTCTGGCCAGTGAGCCTTCAGGAGGTCTGTTGCTACGTGTGTAAAATAGTGATGTTCGCTTTCCAATGATTTATTTCACTTTTGACAAAAAATGTTCAACTCAGTTAAATTCTTTCATGTAAAATAAATAAAACAAATAAAATCACAAACATGTTAGAATCTCTGGACTTCCTTCTTTAGCACTTTTCTCTTGCCCCAACACATTTTCATGAAGCAATGATCTGATTGATCTGATTATATCTCTGTATCCATTTGATCTGTGGCACTACGTCACCAGAGTGTACAGGGTAACTCCAAGGTACCAGATCAAACTACTCATCACTATTAGGCTTTACTGTATAATTTTAATGCAAATAATTTTTACTGTAAATTTCACGTTCCAGAAAGTCAAAGCACTGCACATGACACATAACGAGTAAGAAGAAAAAGCACAGAACATTGAACCCTTAAAACTAAAAGTAAAAACTAAATGATGTCTTAACAGCTACAGTGAAAAACTAGGTCCGTAAGTGAGACTTAAAAACACTTTGATGGTCAGAGAGTCTCCAATGGATTTGGACAAGGAGTTCCACAGATGTGATGCAGCACACATGATCTATCATCCTCTGTGCGGAGTCTGGTCTTCCGCAGAGTGAGAGGACCAGAGTCGGCATATCTCAAAATAAGAGATGGACTGTGATCATGCAATAAGTTGTTAAGATAACCTGGGACAAGTATCAAAAGATAAATACTTTTAGTAAGCACATGAGCCACAAGGTTCTTGACAAACTCAAGCCTATAATAATAACTTGGAAGATCCCCCAGTAGGTAAAGCATTATTTAGTATGGTATGAATCTATTTTAATGAAATTAAGTTATGTATTCATATTTCAGCATCTGGTAGATACAACAAGACTCTTATACAGTAACTGAACAATATTACACACGTTTAATAAAAAATACACCCTTATGGCGCTTCTAATTTTCACATTAAAATATCTGCATAGGTTCAAAGGTCACCTCAAGGGTGTGCAAGATGCAAGAATACAAACCAAGAACCAACAGAAATCTAGTGGGGGTTGATTAAAAAAAAGTAATCAAATCGGGATTTTCAAAAAAACGCACAGAATTTCTTGTTCCTGTTGGAATGTTTGGCATTTTTAACAAAAAGGACTATGGTACATTTTTTAACAAAAAAAAGGCTATGGTTTATTTCCTTTATTTTCTTTTGCGAGATGTCTGCAGTGCAGATTACTAGACACGCACGAAAGTGACTTGTTTTACTCATTTAAAATTATCAGGTAATGCATTTCAGCTAATGGCCAGGGCCCACCACAAGTCTTATGGTCCTATCATGTGTTATACTGAATTTCCTAAATGCTCCCCTTAGCCCGGGCAGCAGGCAGTAGCTCTTATGCGGAGTTCTGGACGAAGGTCAAAAAAGATGTGAACTGGGAAAGTAATGGGTAACACCAAAGCCAAATCGCTAGATGAGAAACGAAGTCGAGGACAGTTTCTGAATTCGACGCCACTCATAATATTGGAGAGAGAGAGAGCAAGACAAAATGTGAGGCCAAGCGTTCCCAAGGAGCTACCAATACCGAGCAATGAGATGAGAACGGGAGAGCATTTAAATATGTCTGGATGTGGAGGGTGTGGTATCCAGTGAGCTGTCCTGATCGGTTAACGGATCTGATCGGCAGTGTTTGCGGGGACTACCTCCAGCTGGGGCTTGATTGGGGGCGAGACCGATTGTGTGTGACAACCAGATGCTCCCCTGAGCTGTGCCTTCCATCCAGGCTTCCTCAAGAGCAACGGGGCAGACTAATGTCTTCCCAAGACCTTTTAGCCTATTGCATGTATAGCAATGCATGCAACGATTTCACCAGTTTTGCAATAAAAGGTTTAAATCTAAATTGGATTTTCCAAGTTTATCACAGGTATCTAGGACACTAAAACATTTTCTTCTCCAAAAATGCTTGAAGAAAATAAAAAACGATAAACAAGAAACGATTTTGAAGACGTGCTCTTTCAATTCTCTTCTGTGTTAAACAGCACTAGCACTGTATCTGCCTGCACAGTGTCCTCACCGAATTTCCCCATTTCCTTCTGTTGAGCATTGACTTGCAGTGGTCATGTCACAATCTCCTCTATTTCACATCCTCTTGGCTTGAGGAATCATCAGAAGGATTTGTATTGCATCCTGCTAAACACAGGATCTTCCAGAATCGTTATACGTGAGGCAGTTTTATTTTCGTTAATGGTACCCCTGTTTATTGCTTTGGATAAAGACGTGCAATATTCAATAACATTCAATTAAACAAGCAAAGTCAAAAGCCTGAGTTGACATCTTTTACAGTGGAGAAAGAATGAAATTGAAAAAAGAACAAAATACAAAAAGGAAAGTGATCCCAGAATGAAATTTAAAAAAAGCAAAATAAAAAAGAAATTGATCCCACCTACTACTGGCACTTAAAATGAAAAAGTTTGCACTAATTTGTGAAGTATCCCTGGGAAAATAAAGGAAAAAAAAATCCAGTCAAAACAGAGGTCACCCCTCCATACAGAATGTCTCATAAGTCTGCTCCCCCCATACTCTCCCAGATAAGACTTATTGCTGATGGACGGCTTTCTTTCCTAAAGAGGGTCATATTCCTTATCCCAAGGGCAGACACACTTTCATGGGTTTATTTTAAAGTTCCCATTTGTCCTAAACTGTGTGGAGTATTTTAAAATAAATGCCTATTCAACAACTTCATTATCAGTCCCAATACCAGACATGCTCATTTGTACTTCATTGTGAAATAAAACAGTCTTACACTGCTCTCTTGTTGTCTGTATTGACCCATAAAATATGTAGTTTTCCTAGTATAAAATATATTGTACTGGATAAGAGGGCACACAAGTAATGTAATATAAAGCAATATTCTATATAAGATACAATCTTAGCAATGTTTATTCTATGAGAAGCCTCAAAAATGATTCAGCTATTAAAATTGTTTGGGGGAAATGTCATATTACAAATATTCAGCCACAACTGTTCATTTTCATTATTGCTATTTTCATCATCTAATGCCAAAAACACAGAAATCCGTCCAAGGTTGGTTGCTGTGCCCAAAGTAGTAACTACGTAAGCTGCCGTCACAGTCTAGATTCTCATACACCCATTTAAAGATAAAACTCCAGCTGATCCACCTGTTGTACACTGTAAAATAACATGGTCTTGAACTGGGATTTAATGGAGCAACATGTAATGTTTTTTTTTCCTCATTCAAGGTTTCAAGGTGGCTAAAACAGCTAGGAAGTGATAAGTGAAAATTCTAATAGGATGTCTTACAGGAAATGATTTTGTTGTTATTATTCCTGTTTGGGGCAATGTTAATCTGTAGAGGAGCGCGATGGAGGCCTTCAGCTGCCCTTTTCGGTACTCTAGGGTGTGTTCTTATCACAGCTCTTCTTTCGACATCCTGAGGTGCCCTTGCAATTTAAGTCACAACAAAATTAAACCCTGAAGCAAAAAAAAAACAGGTCTGTGCAATTGCTGGATTCTCTGGATCTTTAAAAATCTCACATCTTCCACTTAACAGTTTTTCAGGCCCCCAGCAGAACATCAGTCCAGACAGAAAAAGAAGGTAACTGCTTTTTAAACTACAAAAGGATTGTGAAAGCTGTCTAAATCTCATGCCAAATTTTATTAACAGTACTGCAGTTTAGGAAATTAGTGTTTGTCTCTTGGTACTGTATGCGGACAGATTTAGGTCTGTTCACAAATCTGTGATAGCTATTTTTTTTTGTTACTAGTTTGTGTTAATACCATTTAAGGGGTGAATTTTTAGGCACATTGCTCGGTTATAGAATTTGCTCTAGTTTTACTAATTTCAGATACTCATTTTTCCCAAGATAATGCTTAAGTGCAAAAAAAAATCTGTTTCATTCTGGTAGATTTCCACATTTAAATGTTATCATTTCTTCTCGAAACCTGTGAGATAGGATTGTTCTAAAGGAGAGATTTTCAACCAGGTCTCCAAAAACAAGAGTCAAGCAGTGTGAAAGGTGAACATTTCGTCACCTTGAGTCTGCTGACCAGCAACTTTAATAACTTGGTAATAAATAACAGTATTCTGGATAATAATTACAGATTTCATTTTATGTTTATGCTTTAATGTGTGTGTGTGTGTCTTTATTCAAGGGGTTTCTTGGAAAGGGGTCCTTCAGTCTGAAGTTATTTGGAGCCCCTCTCTCCTCTGGAGGATAAGGTTTAAGAAACTACACTTAGTAATTGAAGCCGACAAAAAAAACCAAACTCGTTTGCGACCTCTGTTGGTCGAAAGAAGGGATTAGAATTCTGTTTTGCCAAGTGAATAATATCTCCAGGAATCAAATGGTTTTATTTTGTCGCTTGATGCCTTGTTTGCGAGCTTTCAGTTACATTTAGGAAGAGACACAGAAGCCTTAAAACGAGTACCGTTGTTCTAAAGATAGCACAGCAGCTAAATATGTGATCTTTTGGGAAAAATGAGCCAGAGATGTGTAAAGTTGCCTTTAAGAAGCAGGAATAGATTCATACAGTGTAAGCAAGCAGGAAGCTCTGTATGATAGCAAAGTAAGATCACAGAGAGAGAAACTAGAGGAACACCACAAGACATTTAAATAAGCCTTAACAAAGAAGAGTACTTTGGGGGGAATGCTACCACCTTTAATGCAGATTGAGCAGTTTTCTCATCTTCCATCTGGTGCATAGCTGGCAGAAATACTGTACTGGGTGAAGAGACTGCAGCTGAGCACTGGACTGGGCATGGTCCCAGCAGGGGAGAACAGTCTTCAGTGGTTGGGCGTTTAACAAGAAAAGGGTGGAGGAGTGGGATGGAAATAAGTATGAGCTCCCTGGGCTGGTGTTGTACGTGTGGTACACATGGCTGTAATCACATAGTTAAAATTAAAGAGAAGACATGGAGGCCCAGGTCTGCCAAATGATAGGTTATTATGAGAGAAGCCTGCAGGCCCAGGGGCCTATAATGTCAGAGGATTGTCCCACTGAAAAAGGCTGTATGCATTTTTAAGAACACACTTAAAGTTACTGGACAGAGGTTCCTCAATACTTTGTGCTGACCTCTGTACACACTTAACATACAGTATGCAGTTTTGCAGTGCAGATTTTCTTCTATTTGTAAACTGAACTTTACTGAACTCAACTTGTCAGTTTTGACTCATATTGTGTAGTTTTTCTTGATTAAGTGAAGCAAAACTTTGACATGCTCACTGAAACCCATGTCTGCAGTAAATCAAATTCACTGTCCTTCTTTTGTGGCATACTACAGACATCTAAAAGGATAGGTATGGTAGCAAGGATCAATGTAGTTTCACATCTATATCATTCCTTCCTTAATTTTGAACTGAAACAAGAATTCAACACAAGAACATTTCTTTTGAAGTCCTTTACACAGCTTAAATGAATCTCATAAGCCTGTCTTCTTTCAAATATTTATAAGAATTTAAAAGTTACTAGCTCATTTAGTCCTGCTACAATTCTGTACTTTGTTCCTGTTTGATGAGCTACTCCAAAGACTTCAGTCTATGTCTTTATTAACAATGTCTGAATAAAAACACATTTCCTGGGAAATGTGAATAAATGTGAATTCACAGGAAAAGTGGCTAATTTGTAGCAGTACCTCAGCATCTGGGAGAAGCAGTATCAGACCATTTTTCCAGTTGTAACTCATGTTGTATCAGGTCTTGCTTTCACTGCGAGTGAATGCTCAGTGGCATTGCCAAGCCAGTCAACACAGCAAATGTCTTCAGAATGAACAGTGACACAAGTGGAAAATACCATACATGTACAGTAACTGCACTTACAGTAGGGAAAAGGGAAGCACCACTTTACACAAAGAGCTGGTAGAGTAGGTAACTACCCAGCCATGATGAGATGGCTGGATGAGAACCTTGGATCAATCAGCTACTATCAAGCAAACATGCTAGATAGCCCACACGATCCCTTCTCCTTTGTAACCTTTCTAATGCAATTATGCAGCAGGAATAAAAAAGTCCAAGACTCTCAACGAATGTTTGTGTCTGTGTCTCTGTTGAGTTTATGATGGTCATACAGTAGGCTTAGTGTGCTTGGGAGTGTTTTACACTCACTTTTTACTGGTCCACTGTTTTCAAGGGAGTTAAAAATTAGGGTAGCCTAAATCCTTTCAGAGTGTTAAGTTTCAGACTTCACTAGTGCCCTAATGATGCATCCTGCCTCTCCTGTGATCCTGGCTTGGAGTTTGAAAATGGAAGGAAAGATAGTGCCTCTGAACACACGAATTCTACCATGAATAGATGTATCAATTTTTCCGGTTACTGTTTCAAAATGAGCAGCAGTTTTGACTAGAAATGCAGGATGGTGTAATATTCTGGAGGTGAGTGCTAAACTTAGAGAGATTATAAATAAATTGTTAACATTTTCACTGGTTTGAAATGTAATCTTTCCTTCCCCACCCTGAATCTTAATGCAAATCCATATGTATTCTCTGTTGCATTGGGTCGGGTTCATTTTGGGTGTGAAACTGCTTTCAAAGCAATGGATCTGCCCATCCGCGGTGAATTACGCCCTTACACAGTCCAGTGCAGAACCACTACCTGGTGGGTGTAGTGGGATTTCCCTATTACCCCCTAACATTGGGACCCCCCAACTGTGCTGTATAAATGCAGTGTTTCCTGCCTGAGCTACATTATTCCTGCAGAGCTGGAGGGATCTGGGGAAGGAAGTCTGTAGGAGCTCTGTCCCCCCTCCCCACCAACCAGACCACATTAAACCAAACCTAATGAAAACAATCTGTCTGTAAAGCACCCAGAAAGTCTACTGCCAGTCTGTAGAGGAGGAGGAGGAAATACAGAAGAGGGGGGGAGGTGGAGAGGAGGGAATTTCTCCAAACAGCAAGGAACTTTTCCAGAGGATTTTTCCCCTTCTCGCTTTCTTTTTTATTTGTGAGGAAACCTACAGTACAACAGTCAGAAGCTGCAGCAGCACTTGGGAGGAGGGAGTGAGACAACAAAGAAGCTGAACCTGGCCACATCTCTCTCGCACTTTTAAGAAAAAAAAAAAGATTCTCTCATCTTTAAGGATTTCTTCTGCAGCACGACACGGGGAAAGACTTCTGTCTCGCTCGGCACTCAAAGTCTGTGAGTACTGAAACAGATTTGTACAGCTGCATTTTAGAGGGAGATCTATTCCAAGTTTTTCATCTGCACTCAACATAAAAAACTGGATAACTTTCTGTCTGGATAATGTATTCGGTTAAACAAAAGCTCAGTTATACAGTATTGGCAGAATTTAGTTTAAATTTAAATTGTTGTAATATTAAAAGTGTTTTGAAATAGGTTTCAGCATTTATCTCCCTTTTACCTCAACTGTGGAAAAAAACAACACATCCAGGGGAAAAGATTATTGTTTTAATTCAATCAAAATTCGACACATTTATGCGACTTCTGAATGATCAGTTGAGCACATAGCATATACTGAATTTGGTTATTATAAATATGATTTGCACAGCTTATGGATAATAAACCAGATTTTATTTGGGGCATACATCCTATTATTATAGTAATCAGCTTCCACACCTCTGAATGTACTGTAGCTGAATGGAGAGCAGCGCAGTGGTTCCATTTTAAAAATAAGCTCTATCTTTGACCTATAGAAAACTCAGCTACATGAATTCTTTGCAAATTAACTTTTGTTCTAACTAGTTTTAACTAGTCACTGTCTACGTGTCATTTGCATAAGAGTGAAATAAATCAGCTTTCACATTTCCAAAAAGCCTTTTTTAACATCAGAATTCAATTAGTGACTATTTAAATGCTTTTGAATACAGAGAACCTTGCAGGGCTCTTTGTTGTCTGAATGTCTAACAGATGAAAGAAAGACCATATGAAACCACAACTTTGAGATGGAGAGGAGGCAGTATTTAGGAATTTAGTTCATTATTATCTTTCCGTTTTCCAGCAATAAGTCATTTGCTTCCATAGACTGAATGGAATTACATTCAAAGCTTGCTTTAGTTAGTTGGTTCTGACTGGTGAACTGTGGTCAGACCGAGCAATTTTCAGATGTGCTGAAGCACCAGAACAGGGAGGTAAAACTTCCTGCAGCTGCAGGACAGGGTATATGTGGGTGAGTTTGGAATGAAGAATCAAGACAAACAGGCTATGATGTAATTAAGGGTCATTAATATTGCGGCTGGGTATAGCATATGGCTTTCAGTACCATGTCCAGTTCAGGAGTTGTTTTGTTGAAACCAGCTGCCTTCATTAAAATATTCCAACTTTGAATTGAATTTTAAGGAATGAATAACTTTTTAATAAGACAACATAACTGGAGGCATATACAGTACATCATTGTATAGGAGACTCATTGTTAACTTATATGGTAGTACTTCTGCAAAACCTACAAGTTTGAGCAAATTCAGTTACTTTATAAAACAGCTAGAGGTCAAAATGTAGCCCAGAGATCAGTAATGCTCAGCAAATACGTATGTGTAAATAAACAATGCTGTACTAGGGGGAACTTTAGTTTACATTGAGGCAAATAAAGGAAAAACACTCTTTGGAGAACTATCAACAGACTTTTCTATAAACCCAATAAAGTTCACATCTTGTGGCGGGAGATCTTTGAAGAACACTACGCTAACCGCATTATGAAGAAACCAGCGGTTTGTAAAGTGCTTGCTCCCAATTACTTGCACAGGAGTCCGGCTTCCTTCAAAAGAGACTTCTAAGGGCAATCTGCAAGCTGTTAATGCAGGGGGTCAGAGGCTGGAAAGAGGACGTGCTGTGATGGGTCCCTGAGAGACAGCCCGCTGAGCACCAGACGCCCCCCTCAGGGCAATTGCCAGGAACTCACAGAGGGACCTCGTGTCTCCATTGTGCCAGCTACCCCGCATCTGATAAAGCACTTCCAGCAATGGACGCTAATGGGACCATCAATTTACTGTCTATGACGTCTACCCCATTTCTCCCTTTTCCCCAGCATATCAGCCCGAGTTACTTTTCCACGTTCCCATGGTACTTAATCATTTCAGAGGCAGCGTCTTCAGAAAAACCGCGGCTCACACTGATGTGGCTCCACTAAGGCCCGGGAGGCTAACTGCTAAGACACAAGGCGTTTAAAAGGACAAAATGAGAAAAGAAAGCTTTCCAAACCAATCAGACAAATACATTTCGCTCTCTTCCGTAAGCTGACAGCTGTGCTGTAATTAAGACGGAATCTCAATCTGTCAAAGAGATGAAGAGCTCATTCCAGATGCGTTATCATTACCTTTTATTGTCCTTCACTTATTCTGATGCTTTTGAGCTGTAATGGGCATTTTTTGCCAGGAAACAGGTTTCAAGTATAATTTTGTAATGGTTTTTGAAACATCATTGGTGATTTTAGGATTTTAGACAGGATCATATTAATATTTAATAGTATATAGTACAGTTTTACATTTTGCTTGATTTTCTTGGCTTATTAACAACCAGTCTGTTTTGATTCAGTTTGCCCAGCACTCATATTGTGTTTAAATTCAGTAAACATTCTTCATGTATTCAATCTTCAATATGTATTTATGACCTTGCATTTACCTCAGTATGCCTGCCAGAAGAACATTTAACTGAATTAAACCCTAGTTTTAAAATTACATTTTGCAAAGCATGGACAGAATTAGATGATGTCCTAAAATGTTCAAAATCTGGATACTCCTTAAGGGACTGACATAATCACATTAGTTCCAGCTGTAAAAATGTTCATCATGTGCTGTTGAAAAAGACAGGAAGACCTATGTCATAGCTAAACCTGTTCTGAAATACTTAAAAGTTTCTCACTTTTATGCTTACCCTGATGTCCCTGAACTTTTGGTTTTTAGTAATCACAAATAATTTTGTAATAATTTAATCATGTGCTTTATATAGAAATGAAAACAGGCAACTATATTGTGGCTACCAAATGCTCCAAACTGTAGGTTAATAAAATGCTCAGCAGCATTCCTGCCTCTTCCTGCAAAAAGTTATATTACAGTTGTTTGATTGTTTGTTTGCTATATACTGGTCTTATGGTTCAATGTGTAATAATAGAAGCCAACCCCAATCAAGTGCTTTGTGTCTCCCTTGCTTTTTAACTCCCTTTGGAAACAGTATAGTCTTGAGGTCAAGACTGAGGTCAAATTGTGCAGAAGCTCAACTACTGTACCTTTGTCCAGAATTAGAGAAGAGAAACATACAGAGGTTAATTTGTGAAGAAAGCTCTGCTGCCGAAATGTTGTGTATTTCAAACTTCCCCAGAATCATAGAAGACTCAGATGATGAAGGTATCTGTCTTAGTGTTAAACCACACCATTTGGTGTGGACTGGTGATGGAGAGAAATGTAAACTGTTCTTTGACTGCAGGCCTTAGCTGAATTTATTGTCAGTTGTAACACAGAAGTAGCTGGAAGGTAGTGAGTGCACCAGACTCTCTGAAACGATGGGATTATCTTCAGTGGCAAGACAAGCTATTGAATTAAGGATTAAGATATGCGTTTTCTATCCAGATGTAGATTTGAAGAATTGAACTGAAGAGCGCAGCAGTTGGCTGACAGAAATAGACTACGCAACACGTGTGTGCAGTATGAGGACCAGCATTCCTTCCTGTCTGACAAAGAATTCCGTTCCCAAACACAGCAGGTTGTGTTTATACAGAAATCTAAACATATCCTGCCTAGCTATACAAGGTAGTCAGGATGAGTTGAGCAGGAAGCGCAATAATGAGGAATGCTCTCCGTTTTAAGGCTGCCTAGATGTCAAATGTGTGATAAAAGCACCATAATTTGCAGGACACCTAAACTTATGATAAATAAAGAATACACAATGAAAAGGATACCGGAACAATTATCTCAGCACAATATTGCAAAATTATTATTATAGAACAATTTATGGCTTTTGACAAGGTTAACTGACTTATACTTACAGTAACTGGGTTATTTAGTAAAAGATTCATGGATCTCTGCTAGCTAATCTGGGTCATCCTTCATTTAGTGACTTGTTCACCAAATCACACAGAGAATTTTTAACTTCAACACACACATTAGACATAGTAGCTTCTGAATGTGGTACTGTATCTTAGTGCAGCATTGAAGTACTTAATAGGATATTGAAGAAACAGTTAAGACATGTGTTTTGCACATGTGCTAAGTCACAAGATTAGAACCATTATGGATGGATTGTTAAGAAAAGTAAAGATAAAACCCCACTTCATCTGCACACACAGCACAAAAAGCAAGTCTCTACCTTATAAAACATATATTATTTCATATATGAGCAATTCTCCAAAGCCCCCAATGTTAAAAGAGACATCAAGCACCAGGAAGATAACTGTGCAACTCTTATTTACAGGTGCAGGACTGACTACATGTCGCTTATGACTCAAACATAATTATTTTACTAAAGCACATGTACATTATTTACAAATCTGAAAGCCAGTTAATACCATGAGATTATTCCTGAGGTAGCAAATTACTCACACGAGAAAATTGTTAAACAAAGAAGTCAGCTTCAAGGTTGTCAAACTGGACAGAACACAATTGAACCAAGGATGTTGAGCACTGGATATTGTGTCAGTATGACTGTATATCTGGCCTGTTCATACGTTTGTTTAAGTTATCAAGCTTTTATGTTTTCACACTACGTCATCAACAGTAACTGTTCGCCCTTGTTTGCTGCAGGTTATCAGAGGAACCATGAAGAGCTCCCTGGTTGTTCTGCAGGTGTCTGTGTCCCTCCTCCTGCTGTGGGCTCCTCGTTGCTGCTCCACCCCCTTCCAGTCCAACAGCAGCACCTTTATGGAGACAAGTGGAGACGGGGACTACGAGGCCACATCCTTCTCTCTGCACACCACACAGAGCTCCCATCCCATCTCCACTACGGTGCGTGTCTCCAATGGCACCCGAACCAAACCCTTCATCCTCAGCCACATGGTGGACTTCCTCAGGGACAACATGCTGCTGATCATCGTGGTGTCCTCCCTGCTGGCGGTCATCATCTTCATCGTGTGCTGCGCCTCCATCCTGAGGCACAAGCAAAAGGTCAACGCCTACTACCCTTCCTCCTTCCCCGCCAAGAAATACGTGGATGAGAAGGACAAGTCGGGGGGCGCAAAGACCTTTAGTGAGATTCCAGAAAAGGCACCCAACTCCCAGCAAGAGGAGCCGGTGGATTCCACCAAGCAGCTCCAAGCAGATATCCAGGCAGCCGCCCAGAGTCTGAGATCCCCGTGCAAGGCTCCTGTGACCAACCAAGAATCACAAGCTGCAGAACAGCCAAGCAAACAGGTCACAGAGGAAAAGACCCAACAAGAGACCAGCAGTCCCCAGGAGGCTTCCCCTGCATCTCCAGTAACTCTGCAAGAAGAAGCGCCCAGCCAGCCTCCGGCTCCGGCTCAACAGGAGACCGCCAGCCAACCCGAGCTTCCCGCGGGAGAAGACGTGAGCCAAACCCCGAGCAAAGAGTCTGAGCAAAACTCGTGTCCGTGTCAACCTCAGGACTGCCAAAGCCAGCTGCAGGACCCCACACCCCCAAATGAAGACCCACTTCCACTGAAAGAAAGCCCCACAGTGCAGGAACCTCATCAGGGTGAAGACGTTTCTGGCCAAGAGAAGAAGGAGGCTGAGCAGGAAGTGAAGCCTGCCACTGAAGAGGCCCAGGAAGTCACCACAACTGACCCGCAGCCTGTGGTTGCCGCGAGCGACCAGCCCCAGGACACTCCAGCACCAGCAGTTCAAACTGTCAGTGGGGAGACCACAGCATTTTAACAGATGGGCCCCCCAGAAAGCTCCGATCTTTTCCACAATGTTACTTCACAAGCTCCGAATTTGTTGATTTCATTATGTGAATACCAAAGGAGGCCTTAAAAAGAAAACAAATCTACAGTATTTTTGTTTCATTTTTCCATATTCATTAATTATCTTTTTGATCGGCTTAAGATTTTAAGACCTGGATGGGAAAGCTTTTCTCCCTGAAGAAATATGACTGCTTTACGAAGTGTTCTGATATTGACTACCTGTAAAATGTGTCGTAAGCCAAACTGTGGTTATTAGGACAGTGTCATTGTTAAAGAAAGCTATGGTACTTTGCATTTCGAATTAAGCCTGTGCTCTTTTTTTATTTTACTTATTTAATAAGAAGAAATCCTGGCAGGGCCAGACACATTTCCTTTTTTGCAAAAATATTTCTCTGTGGAATGCAATAGCTCTGCGAGTCTGGAAAACTATTTGTCTTTTTGAATTTTCTTCACTGCAATAAGTTTGTAAAACTACCATTATACAAACCCTTCCGATTACTCTAGAAACATTTATTTAAAATCTGACAGATAATGATATATACTACATTAAAAATGCTTGTTAGATATTCTCAATCATATACACTCAGCTCTTTTAACGAGAATAATATTGCTTGATGCTTTCAAGTACAATACAGTCCCTCTACTTATTATTATTGAGGAACGTTCCCCTTGAGTTTTCAACATTATGCCTTAATCAATAGAACACTCAGTGTAAATTTCATGTACAGCCTATAACTCTGCTCTATTTCTTTCGATTCATTCTCCAAAGTCACAATGTCATTCTTTCACTCTATTATGCGCTTGGTGACTCTGCTTGATATGTCTGCCCTTTGTGCCCACACTGCTTCATTCACAACACTGAACTCCTGCAAGGACTGTGAAGAAGAAGGTAGGTCTATTGTGGCTTAATGAACAAAACAATTGCGACAAATCGACCAAGCCCTTACAATGATATACCATGGTATTTCTGCAGTTTTTCCATAGATGTATAGTGGTTATCCCACATATCGAATTTGCTTAGCCATGACTTTCCAAATTATGCCTTAACATACCTCATTGTGCTCACCTACACTTCAGCATACTCTTACAACACAGGAAAGTTTATAAGGGATGCCAGTCCACATCCTGCTCGTAATGCAGAACATGCAGTTCAATAGTTAAATAATGCTAACATCCTTGATATGGTCAACAGATGATTACATCACACTTAATATTTCTCTTCCTGTGGAAAAAATAATGTGCTAATAATTGCCTTTTCACCTCAGTGGTGCTGTTTTATGCCAAAGAAAATATTCGGCTTTTTTTCTAGCGTAGAAGAAATAGAATAGCCATCAGTATTGTTGCAGTTATTTGTTCTTGTTTCATTTTTGCAATATTTAAGTGACCACTACTCTAACTTCTAGAGTGGGTTGATATATTATAATCATGTTCCTTTTATAAATTAAATAAACTGTTTCCAAGGTCCAGTCATCAGCACAGTCATTTTTTTTCTCTTCCTCTACATCTGTTTGTGGCTTTTAATGTTTTGGTTTGAACTTTTAGCTGGATGCCTTATCCATGCAGGTGATAAACCCTTAGACGCACTAAAGTAAAGTAAGCCTGGAAACAAAACAACAGGCAAAACCATGTCTTCTGCATTGTGTAAAAACAAAATTGTTTTACGGGCTGTTTCTTTGCTTTGTAGGTCATTTAATCTACTTCCTTGTTTTCCAATTGGAAATAAGTTTGACCTCAACATGTGTCTTTTGAAACCTTTTTTGTGATCGTGAGTCATGTTGTCTTTGCTGGTGCTTTAATTAGAAGAGCGAATGTCTGCCTGCAAGATAATGTTTACGACAGGCCTTCCTGTTGCTGGTTTCCTTTAATAAATCCCCTCATGTCTGAAAAATATCTGATGCAAGCATCCCGCGCAAGAATTCAATCTGTTGAGAAAAAGTTAAGTTTACGTGTTCCCTGAGTCTGTTTTGCCGTGTTTGTCTGAACTGCCTTTATGATGGCAAACGTTGAAGTGGCGCTGTACCTACAGAAGAGGGCGCTGCCAACGTGTGATCCCCAGTAACAGCAACCTGAGTGACCACACCCTGGACACACCCCTATGCTTCCAGTCAGGTACTGCCCGGTTTTCTCCACCAAGTGAATCAAAACAAATGAAATGACTTCAAGGTAATTCTGCAACAACCTTTATATGATAAACCTCATATTCAAACTGCACCATATGATAAAGCTATGAAGGATCAGGGACTCAGAGCACAAGAGATCAAGGTACTCACATCTACACATTATCAGTGTCCCTCTTACATTGGACTTAATTCACCTTCAAACGAATTATTGTGCATGTTCCATTAACATCACTCTGGATACATCATTATATACATGCAGACATGTATAAGTAATAATCCTGACTTTCTCTAAAAAGCCCATGAAAAATAAGCTTCGCACATTGGCGATGTTAGAAACCCCTATCAATCAGCAACAAACAGGCTGTCAGCCCACCAATAACACAGCCTTGGTTCAAGGTTTCCTGAGGGGCTTGTTAAAACCATTTGTCTTCAGGGTCCTGCTAATCAACCTGAATCACAATGTGTAGAAGCCATCTCATTTCAGCAGCTGCACATTCCAGATCACTCTCCCTACTAATTGACCTTAATACATCCTGAATAGATAATGGTTGCTGATGGTCTGCACGGACTGTTTCTTCTCACTGCAGTGCAAATCAGAAGTAAGAGGCCCTCTTGATATTGACGAGAAACTGAGCAAAACTTCAATTTGCTGTAATGGAGAATGTTGCCCTGGGAACGCTAATCTGGGGGTCTGCGTTTCTAAATGTTGAAGGAAAATGTTGGGCTAAAAGGAAAGGATAGAAAAGAAAGCTATACCTTAGGAACTGATAAATGTAAAAGGCAATTGCAACTGCATTCCACACAATTTACTGTCCAAAGAGATCTGAAATGCTGCAACACTGTAAACAATCACAGTTTGAGTGCCCTGTCATAAAACATGTGGTGCATATTCTGTTTGAGGAATATGTACAGTTCTATTTTAACACAAAGACCAAAAGTGGGACTGTCCGCACAGATATCTTGGCATCCTTCTGAACTACTGCTTCGTACTTTAACTCTTACAGTACCTTCCTCTCGGCGATTTTTAAACTGGTTATGAGAGGCCACAGCTCAGCTGCAGTGTACTCGACTGTACTACTGACAATGTAAAACAGCTGATCTCCGCTGTCACAGGCCTGTGCTACCTGTTTTGCTGCCACATCTCTGCCTTCTCCATCTGCTTCCTAAACCAATCAAAAAATTGCCAGGCATTCATGACACACTAAAAACAGTGTCCAAAGTGTAACGTGTGCTACACCAATAACAGAGGAACGCGTTTAAATGATAGATTTTGTGCTTTTTTGTTTGAATATCACAACTGAAAGTTTCAAAATATTGTTTTATTTAACTACTACTCTTAAGATCACAAAACATTCTCTTTTCCTTTGAATACACCTACACGCTTTAGCTAAAACACTTTTTTAAAGTGCCCTTAGCCGTTAAGTGTAGGTGTTTCAGTTTTAAAGAGCACTTGGGAACTCTGGGGTTTCTCAACACTCATTTATGGAGCCAACGCACCTTACTGGAACCTTACAGCTGCATTTATCTTCTGAAAAAGACTATAGGGAAATAAAAACATTACTGAACAATATATTTTTTTTCTTTTACATAAATACATTGCAGAAGTCTGAAAGAGGAGAAAAAAGGGAAAGAGAAAAATGCAAACCAAAACAGGAAGTTTTAATTCTTTCCTATCACCCTGTGCCCAGTTTTCCTCCCCCACAAAAATATTCACACAAGACTCTTGAGAAACAGTACTTCATTATTTAATGCTGCAGAAGAAAAACAGTGACCCCTGTCATTGTAGAACATTCTCACAAATGTTGGCCAATAAATATCAGAACTATTTTCTCACTCTCAGAGAGGAATGGTGAACTCTGCTAAAATGACCCATTAATAATGACAAAATCCCACATCTGGTTATGAAAATGCAGATCTAATTATTGGGATTAATACAGTTATTAAACTGAAAATGTATACCCATTCCCATCACTAAAAATGGTCTCAAAGTTAACAAGATTTATATAAAAGGACGTAAGAAAAAGCATAACAGGCAGTTCATTTTTTAATTCCCTTTCCTTATTCATACAAGAGGGGCAGGAACCATTCTGTAGACCTGGCTTGAAATGCTTCTCATAGCAACTTAAAATAGTACACTCGAGATGTTAAGAATGTAAGAGCCTCCTCTTTTCTTTCCAGAATGAATAGATGAGCATCACCAAAATAGTTCACTGCATAAATATTTAATCCGAACATTCCTGAAATGAGCTGGTGTCATAGTTTCCCTCTGTGGGTTTTTATTTTTTCTCTGCGAGAGGAATCTGATTTTCCCTCTAGAAAATCATGACGTGCCACTAAACATCTCCCGCGTTCAAAGGGTGCTCTTAGAGATTTGTGCGAGTGAGCATTTGACATGATATTTGCGTCAACCCGCTGTGTGTGGCTCTGTGTAAGCATGGATTATTTTGATAACTTTGCCCCCAGGAACAAGTTAATATAATCAACACTGATTTACAATGAAACTGCAACAAGTTTACGTCAATAGCTCACTGATCGCATACATAAAAGTATTTAAATTTTAAACAATGAGCAAATAGGTTTGATTGAGCATTATTAATACTTGAGATACAAATCATGAGATTACCTTACACCAGGTGAGAGGTTTAAAATTTCCAGAGTGAGTTGATTATGAATTTTGGACAAACTCCCATTTAAAAGACTTCTATTAATGCAAGGACAGTGAAATATACCATGCCTTGTATTGAGTCTAGCCCTATTCTGATGAAGATAGCCATCACTGAAGGTACTTCTCTGTAAGTACTCTGTAAGAAAAGTGTAGAGGAAAGATAGCAAAGATCACTTGTACCAGTCCATGTCCATTACACCATTCTATTCCATCTGAATAATGATTTTCAAACAGCAGTGGCTTCTACACATGATCCCCGGGAAGAAATAATTTTCTTAATTCTTTACAATTTAAGTCTCCTTAAACTGTAGAACAAATAACTAATTTCTTGTTTGTGGTGGGCCCATATGCGGCGAATCATGTGGGATTCATGCTTAGTGAGACTTCAGCATATATTACCTCATGACATAAAAATAACAAAGAGTGCCCTTCGTATTTTTAAAACATGAAAGAAGCTGCAGACCCCAAATTAGATGTTTGTCTTACAAATAAAGAACACTGGCAGTCGCAGCCTTAATCTGCTTTAAATTACAGCTTGACTCTCAGTTTGACTGATATAAATACACACTGAAAATTGGAGCATACATCATGGAAGCCAAATTAAGGCAACTATGGTGAAAAAAATATGGAATTGAAAGAAGTTCCCTTGTGTTCCAAGAAAAATAAATGACCGGTTTGAAATTGCAGCTTTGGAAGATTTTAAAATTGAAAGAGTGACTCTAAGATTATACACTGTCAAGAAAACTCTGTTATAATATTTTTACACCACAAGTCCAGGAAGAGGTTTCAACAGTTTTCTGCAGGAGAGTAAAAAGTTACTCATTCTTTTCTTTAACATAAATCTTCCCTTTTATTTTTGATATAGTTCCTGGTATTTAATCGTAATTAAAAAAAATGTCCCTGCCACCCAATTTTCGTTCTATATGCAGTTCAAAGAAAAAGAACAAATTTGATATTCATTTGATAAAGTTAATGCACTGTGGCAAGCACTTCATTGTAAAGCAAGCAGAAAGATACGCCACGTTATCATCACTAGAGGAATTCTCACAAACTTTGTCGCTTTGAAATATAAAGTAGAACAAGAGCTACAGCTAAAGAACATTTAACAGTCCTGATTTTCTGGTAGTTCATATAATTCATCAGAGGTCACTAAGCATCATGAAATGCTGGCTCCAATGAGCATGCTGTTATATCCATTCTCCTTTCATTCCTTCACTAGGGCCAAAAGCTATGCCGACTATTTCCTTTTTATTCCCTCTGGAATAATAAAATGAAAGGCCTCTTTTCCAAAGTCTCCCTCTCACCTCTTTTCTATGCACAGAAGTTGACACAGATTCAAATGAAGAGTGGAAATTAAGCAGTACTTAGCCAACACAGTGCCTGTTTCCTCCAAGATAAATTCTTTTGATTAGATTTTAATCCACTTACACAAGGGGCAGAAAACTACGAAGGAGCTTTTTAGCCAAAATGCAATACACATGTGAGAAAAGAAGAAGCAGAAATGGAAGGGAAAAACTGATTTTTAAACGCAAGTGTCCCGAGTTAAAATAAATGAATATGTTGTCACATCTGCAACTTTACAATTCGATAAACACCTCTAGACTTCAATGCTTAAGACTCCCATATGGCACAATATAACCGTCCCAATTTTCTGGCAGTTCAGAATGTCGATATATTGGATGTGTCCATATAATTGTTGAACCAAATGTGAGCCAAAGATATCGTTGACTTCCATATGGTTCAACAATAAAGACACTTGTTTGAAGGTTAAGTCTTATAATCTACTGTAAGATATTGCCAGTTCAGGTCTGGGCTATACCACGAGCCAGCTGTGTCAAATGCTTGATTTGGTTAGTTCACTCCTCTTGTTCGTGCAGTCCCTGCTGAGAACTCTGCAGGACAATGGTAGCCCGTATCCAGGAAAAGGTGTGAGCAGTTAGTCCTTGTGGTTCATAAATGACAATTCCGGATATTAATATATAAAAAGACAAGAAGAAGATATTGTTATATAAATGTGTTTTGCTTAGTTAAATTAATTGAACTGAAATAATACAGAAAAATATTTTATTTCTTTCTAGACTTAAGATCCCATACTTCTCATCCCTCCAGAAACTCAACATGAGAAGATTAATTAGGATATCCATGACTTTGAAAGGCCAAACTGACCTTTAGGGATCTTTGACTTCAAGATGCAATTTCACAGCGAAATGAAACATTTTAGAGTGCATAAATGTCATATCGACAAGTCATGCTTCGCAAAAAGGGGAAATGTTTGAAAAAAGGCAGAAAATAGCTATCAGAGCATTGCATGGGAAACAGTATACATTAACGTCATCTCAAGAATTTCGCCAGCCTCAAGCTTGGAGGCAGCAGGAGCACTGTGGGTGAAAGTGATCTATCATACAAACAATGGCAAAACAAGACTTAGTTCCCAATAAACTTTCTGTGGCTTGTCATTTTGGAGCCTCTGCTCTCTCATGTCCTAAACAGTGCTCCTCTGCCCTGCTGCTGAAAGAGGCCAGGGTCAAGAAACGGCACTCCTTTTTATGAAAAGTCAGCCAGCGTTTCTGGGCATAACAGGCCTGATCCACTCTTCACATCCTGTGGTCACAATGACCCAAGCCAGCTGCTTACTACAGGCATTCTCCAGCACTTACGTGCTAAAGCAGAATTAAACCAACAGCTGTACCTCTTCAATATTTATTGCTGGTTTTAAGTGAAGTAAAAGACAACTTTTCAGAACTGGAACTGAAGGCCTACTTGAAAAGCTAAAATATGGAGATACTGTATGGTCGACTCCAGAGTGAATCAGGTTTTGATAAAACAGTGGAAAGAAAACTGGATTACAGGAAAACAAACCTATGTTAGTGTCACTTTCTAAAACCACTTGTTCACTTTTACACTTAGCAGCCTTCACTGACAGAGATATCAGTAGGAAAAGGTGGCATTCAACTGTATTTCCTTAGCGTTTTGTTCTTCTCTACTATACCTATGCCCGAAATACAGAACATGTAGCCGTTAATTTGCAGCTGATTGTTAATTCCCAGCTTAAAAGATCCCTGTTAATAGATACCTATGTAACTCACATGGATGAAAATGAACACTGACTTGGCACCATTACAACAGGCATCAAAGATAGTCTGGCACTTAACACCCATATGACCAAAGCTACTGATTCCAAAACAGCAGAGCTCAACAATGCAAAGGGTTCTTTCAAATCTTGGCAGTGCTACAAAATTTCATAAATATTTCAGCAGCCAATTACACAAAATTGCACACATTGAAATTTAACAAGTGGACAACTGAATAACTCATTGTCTGAGAGATTTGTTTTTAAAAGCACTTCCACTGCGGTGGCATAGACCTGCCATTATGTTTTGGTTCGGCCATTAAACGTTTAAAATCTCATGCAACTGTGTAGTAGTTCACTCCAGAGTTTAACATGATATAGACGTTATTATACAGTCCCCCCTAATCCTTTTTATTTGAAATTAAGAGCCAGTTTCGGGTATGTAAAAGGGGTGCTTTTGATTTTCCAACTCTGTATGCAAAGACCTGCGTCACACGTGGACAGGATTTTTTTTTCCTGTTATGCTCCGACAGTTAATTTTTTTTCCTGTGTGGTGCAGCACTTACACTGCCATTATAATAAATCTTGCAGTTGCTCTTTAATTTTGTGATTTTCCAGAGCAGATTAATGAAAATGAAGCAGCTCAAGATGGGAGCAGGGTTGTGATAATGCCTGCCGGGCGGTTCACTGGCTCTTTGTCTTTAGTGCACTAGTGAAAAGGCTGTGAAAAGTGATATTCTAACTTGTTTTGTCTAACTATGAATTTGATCTTGAATACCTTTCAGGTTCCAAGAACAGTCTGTCTGGGAGAGGGATTCACCAGAAGAACAAACTTTCCATTTTTTGTCATCCAATGAAAACCATTAAATGCAATAATGTTCTGTGGTGAAATAACCTTTTAAGTGAGTTTATTTTATATTACCAATAATGACACTTTTTGATCTTTACTTGCAGACTGAAACAGAAATTAAGTGTCAGCTCTGTATAAGGTTATATAGATTACGTACTGTATGCGTAACAAGAAACAAGTATTTCCAATATTTAACATATGTTCCTGTTTTATAGAATTAATCCTGGGTTGTTTTTTTTTTTACAAAGGTCATGAGGCCTTGCATTTGTTTATTGGCGAATACAGACTTTACCCATGACTTGTGTATTATTTATATTGAAAAGGAGATATGCATTGTTCTATGCCGGGAGTTCCAATATGTCCGATTTCTTAAATGTTGGTGCAGCTACATTACAGACATTACAAACGTGTTCAATTCTTTCCATGCCTGATTTACAAAATGTGTAGCTATCAGAGTCCATATCAAATATAATTTAAGGGAAAGGATTAGATGGTTATATATATATTTTTTAAATTGTGTTCCTTTATTTTGTGAGGAACAGGGTATAAAAGTCCAAACCAATAAAGTTTTTACCAGAAAGAGCTAATAAAAATGTATTAAGTAAAAACTGTGATTTCTGGGCACAGTGAATTTTCAAAACACTTAATAATTATTACATCTTTTCCTCACATATTTGCCACTAACGTTGTTGAAGTGTAGGATGAAAATGAGTAAATCTTGTGTATATTACTTGGCCTTTAATTAATATAATATTGGTAATTACATTGCATCAAATATGGCTTTTTGATTGGACGATAAAGGATGTGGACAACAATAATAATTTAACCGTAATCAATGTTAAGAGATTTACAACAAATTAAATATTAATCTTATTTGTAAAATAGACAAAGGTGGATTTTTTATACAAAATGCTTCTCTACTCCATATGATAGGACTGTGTGACGCAAATTCGTAAATGAACTAATTTCTACAGTACTTTCATTTCTCGTGTCTTGAGACGCGACGTTACAACCTCAATACCGCCATCTTGTGACTCATAAAGGTGTTGCAAAGCAGGCTGGATTTAAGGCTGTCTCGCAAGGTAGTCTCCCCGCTATTCCGTTTTCTGCCCAAACTAATTTTAAAAAGTCCCCAAAAGATCCGAAAAGTAGTCGTTATGAAGATATAGTACGTTAACAAAACCACTCTTCTGAACGGGATTGTTTTTTACTGTAAATGTTGTTTGTTTGTTTTTTTTTTTTCATGACAGGAAGCTATGCTCTAAAATGAATGAAGATCACAACATCAAAGATAAAAAGTGACAACCCCCGAAGACAATGCAGATGAAAGAGCCCTCGGTGAAAGCTGAAACTTGAGCATTTTCAGGTACCTTGTTTCAGGGTCGGGTTTCAGCATTTCAGCATCGGCAAGGTGTTAAATAATTCCGGAATATAGTGCACTGCAGCCTTCACTTCTGCTCTTCAGGATCGTGGGCGGCGTGTTTGCCAGTTCCATGAACTTCAATTAACACCGTGCTTTTGTGTTCTCGGGACTTCGTGCGCAATGCAAACCAGGGGCGAAGACACTTAACAGACGGCAAAACGAATAACTAGCTTCCTGCTAATAAATGATATTGAGCATCCCTATAAACAAGTCTTCATTAATTTTTTAAAAAACAAATCAACAAAACTACCCCGCGACCGACGTCACGAGTGTAGCAGGACAAAAGCTCTCAATTTATCCAGATAGCGAAGACACACAAGTAATGGAACACCTTAAGATCCCATTAAACTTTGATGGTTTGGGATTTGCACAGACCAGCCTCTTTCTAGAAAGCATCACAGAAGCACGCAGGACTATGCGAAAGTTGAAAATCCCAGTCCTTACACAGTCGGCAAGGAGAAGACATCTTCGGCGTCTATGGATATGGTAGGCCCTGTTTAATTCTGATTTTAGGAATCCAGATCATGTTGCCATTTTCGCACAGAGTTCATTTGAGCGTATTGGGCACCTGATTACCATACTGTAGATCTATTTTTTTTGTATCAAAATACAGAAACTTTTCAAGTGATCCAAATTCTTATATTCAAATTTAAAAATGTGAAAAATACAAATTTTGGTTCAATTTAGGAAAACGGCCACAGGTTCACTGAAATTATGGCAGTGAAATGCAATAGAGATAGTGAGCTTTCTTAGGAGCTATTAAAAAATACATCACAATTTACTTTTTGCAAAAATAGTATGCCTGGATGTCCATTTGCATCACCTTTTAGATTGATCTTCCATTTTTACGTCTTTTTGAGTCTATGGTAATAGGCAACAACAACACATCGTCTAAAAAAACTCGACAGTTGAAATGTGTGGCACGTTTCAGAAAATCACATCTCAGAATTATTATTATTGCTTACACTTATATAGCGCTTTTCTGGACACTCCACTCAAAGAGCTTTACAGGTAATGGGGACTCCCCTCCACCACCACCAGTGTGCAGCACAACCAGGATGATGTGACTGCAGCCATAGTGCGCCAGAACGCTCACCACACATCAGCTATCAGTGGGGAGGAGAGCAGAGTAATGAAGCCAATTCATAGAAGGGGATTATTAGGAGGCCATGATTGGTAAGGGCCAATTTGGCTAGGACGCCGGGGTTACACCCCTACTCTTTTCGGGAAACACCCTGGGATTTTTAATGACCACAGAGATTCAGGACCTCGGTTTTACGTCTCATCTGAAGGACGGTGCCTGTTTACAGTATAGTGTCCCTGTCACTATACTGGGGCATTGGGACCCACACAGGCTGCCGGGAAAGTGCCCCCCTGTTGTTCCCACTAACCCCTCTTCCAGCAGCAGCCTTAGTTTTTTCCCAGGAGGTCTCCCATCCAGGTACTGATCAGGCTCACACCTGCTGAGCTTCAGTGGGCTGCCAGTTGTGAGTTGCAGGGTGATATGGTGATAATTATTAAAAACTTGTATTGTTTGAATCTGTAGAGTAGTTGGGAATATGGAAAAAAAAAACAAGACATACTTGTGACTGATTCCTACCTATATAATTCTGTTGACCATTGAACATGGCATGAAGCTAGTTCTAAAATCACAGGGAACCCCGAAATTGAGGTTTGTATGCCTGAGAACAAGGACAATCCACTGCAGTATGATGGCTGTACCACGTGTACGAATGTGGCTCATCTTGCCTTTCTCTTTCCCCGCAGTAAGCCATGCCTGGCTGCCTCTGTGGCTTGCTGCTCTTCCTGTTCCTCTCACGAAGCACGCACACCCACCCCTGGTGCCCCGAGGGCTGCTGCTGCCCCGGCCCGGGCTCCTCCGTGCTCTGTGAAGGCCAGGGGTGGCGCAGTCTGCCCCGCTCGGTGCCGCCCAATGTGTCCGCCCTGTCCGTCGCGCGGAACCGGCTGTGCGACGTCGACCACCTCCTCCTCCCCTTCTCCCGGCTGCGGGAGCTCAGCCTGAGCCACAACGAGCTGAGCCACTTCCCCAGGGGCCTGCCCTCCGGCCTGGAGACCCTGCTGCTGCGGGTCAACCGGATAACCTACCTCACGGCCACCAGCCTGAGGCAGCTGAGCAACCTGACCCGGCTGGACATGGAGGACAACCGCGTCCGCGTCATCCAGGCCGGAACCTTCCAGGGCCTGAAGCAGTTGCGGTTTCTGAGCTTGAAAGGCAACAGGTTGTCTTCCATCCCCGACTCTCTGCCAGGCTCCCTGGTACACCTGGACGTGTCGCATAACTGCATCTCCACATTAGGCCTGACGTCTCTTGCCAGCCTGGTGAACCTGCAGATGTTTAAAGTGAACAGCAACCATTTAAAATTTATACCGGACAGAGCCTTTGAGAGCCTACCAAGCCTGAAAGCCGTACAGCTGGACGACAACTTATGGGCCTGTGAGTGCGATATTTTGTATCTCTACAGGTGGCTTTTAAACAGCAGGCTGAAGATGGCTACTGATCTGGTATGTGCAGCTCCTCTTCATTTAGCAAGGCGGCTCCTGCTGACTTTGTCTGTGGTGGCCATTTGTCCCACTTTTCTCAGGCCAAATGAAAGAATTTCTTATAATGTTCTTGGTTTACCTCATAAATTGCAGGAAAGCCCCAGACAAGCACTGTCAAATAACGCTCAGATCTCTTCTTCTACGCCCATCACTGGAACATATTCACTGATTCAGGCCCGTGCAGTTAAATCTAAGGCCAAGCAAAACTTATCTAAAGATACTGCTTTGTATTCTCGTCAAAATCAGCAGAACCCTCAAGATTTGGCCCCACGTTATACTTTGGAGGAAATGAACTATGTGGACTGCCAAGCTATGGCTGGGAACGACGTCACATCTCCTGGAGCTTCGGTCACCTCCACAGCGCAGCCGACGGTCTCGGAGAGTCCCAGATGCTCAGAGGATTCAACAGGCAGCTCTCCTCATGAAAACGTGACCCATGTGACAATTACTAGTGTGGTACTCCCAACCGACAAGGCCAGTTTCCAGCCCACAATCCTTTACAGGCCAGTCCCCCCACATGAAAAAAACGCCATCGTGGCCCTCTTGGCAGTTCTCTGCGTGCTGGTTCTCCTCGTGTTGCTGGCTGTAATATTGGTGCTGAAAAAAATATTAGAGAGAAACCGGAGGGTGGCTCCTATCGAACAGTCTTAAAACAAGATAGCCGCTCTGGTATGCTTTTCCATGGGTCCAAGCAATGTCTAATGCAAACCGAACGATCACTTGATGCTAATGGTATTGTACCAATTTAGCTGGCAGGTTGTTTCACCAAAAAGGAGCACAGAAATCTGCCAAATGTTATTTTGCTAAAAACGTTTAAGAATTCCCTCTCCTCAAAAGGTCACATTAATGAGACTACAGCCGTAGTGAACAGCATTTTTCCCCAACCTCCCAATGTAACAAATAAGTATTTTTGACCATTAGTTATCATACAGTAAGCCATTTTGAATGTTTTTTTTATTATACAGACTGCACACTGTATTATATACATACTGTAAAGAGATGCATTTTACAACCATTTAGCCAACACAGAACTGCACTGCCAATTTATACACAGCAAATAAACATGGTATAAAATGTGAATGCTGGATGCAGTTTTCTTCTTTCCCGTTACAGACACATTTGTGTTACTAATGAAGATGCAAAATAATTCCAGGTATGTCCTGCAGGTCTTGGTAGGGCTTCATATATTTTTATCATGTTGGTATCACTCCACCTGTTTCTTGTGTGTGCGCATTATAATGCCACTATCAGTTTTCAAAATGTTTAAACAGAAAACTAATCCATACAATAAGATACAAATCAGAAAAAAACAAATGGCTGCAAAACAAGTATAATAAAAAAACAGCTATGCAATCTTCCTGACAGATAAGGCTTTTACTTCACATCAATCACCAAAGAAGCTATATTACATTGTGCGTTCCAGTCTAGAGTGATTGTGTAAAACTTGCTGTTTTCTTCGCCTTTGTAGACATTGCAACGCTTGAATGCTGGAATGAGAACTCTCTGTCTTGAATGGTGTAGATGGCGCCCGTCTAATTACTGGCGTGTGCTGTTTTATCGTTGTCTTGCTGTTTCAGTCTATAGTCAGCTAAAGCAGCTTTAATAGCATCTTCAGCAAGCACTGGCAAAACAAAGAAAAAACTGTTAGACTTGTCATGGTCAATACTTTCAATAAAGGCAACACTGTTAGATGTTAGGTGCTCTAAAAAGAATGGACACTGATAGGTTCATAAGTCAATGCATTTGTTTCTTAGTCCAAGACTAATGCTAAACAGGGTCCATCTAACAATCTACATTAGCAGTCCTGGACCAATACTAACATGAGCATGGGAAATCAGTCCTAAAACCCCACCGTTACAGCTGATAATTTACATTTTTTAGCAATTTTAGGAGATGAATGAAAAGATGGTGATAGGGTCTTGTGCTGAAAACAGATTGGAAACAATAGTGCATTAACTTACTTGAGCAATGCAGTTTGACAGGAGGAAGGCTAAGTTCTTTGGCAATTTCAGTGTTCTTGATTTTAAGGGCTTCGTCAATCTGCAAAGAAAAGAGCAAATTCAGTGATTAAATCCTTGCAAATAAGATAAATGTTCCAAAAATAATCGTGTAAAAAGTTACCTACCGATTTGCCCTTAACCCACTCTGTCGCCAAAGAACTGGATGCAATTGCCGACCCACAGCCAAACGTTTTAAATCTGGCATCAACAATCTTCCCCTGCTCATCCACTTCAATCTGCAAAGACACGGGGCCAAATTCAAGGTCAGGGTTTACTAAAAACTGTGAATACTTCTCATCCAAAACGTGAGCTTAATTTAGTTGTTCTCTACTGCAAACATCCCATACGAGCGCAAGTCTCATGGGAGTCGCAAGCTCATCTGGTAATGGCCATGGATACCAAGAACAGTTCGCTTTAAAGCTTCAAAAGCTAAGCACATAACACTTTTTGTATCTATCCTGACAAAGTACGTGTTAAATATAATTGGATGGTAGCTGTATTCAGTTAAGGTCACATTATCATAGCAAATGTGGCAATCACAGTAGAACAGGAATGTAAAGGGTGTATCATGCACAGGTAACTGCACAGCTAACTTACTTGTAATTTCATGACATCGCCACATGCGGGCGCTCCCACTAGTCCAGTGCCAACGTTCTTTGCATTCTTGTCGAGGGAGCCCACGTTCCTGGGGTTCTCATAATGATCCACCACCTTTAAAGAAACAAAAATGTCCCTGATTTATTCTTCTATGTCTTTATTGCAATCGTGACCCCATGGGTGGAAGACTTTAAAGGACACCATGATAAAAAAAAAAGTAAGAGGAGTCCCACCACCTTCCAAAACAAAAACCAGAACAGACTGATCCACTGAAAAACAGGCTGATTATCTTGTCAATCGTACGTTTAAGCACCTGATCCTCATCCCCTCCCTACAATAGAGTATTCTGGGCAGCACCGAGTCACACTCTCGGGGGGTGGATGGACACTGGATATACTCTATTAATAAGGCCGCAGGTTTATAGTCGAGCATTGTAATTTGCACATCAAACAGCAGGTTAAGGTTTACTGATGAAACTAATGGGGCTTTAATAGATTACAGACAAAGCTGAACACAAGATTATGATTCCTGTAAAATGTGGCATCTGCGTGAAACTGAGGGTAACTATTTTTAATGGTGACCAGCAAAGGAAAACCTTGTGTGGGTAACATTTCACACAACCTGATCATTATAGTGCAATTGGGCCCAGGTAATTTTTCCCCCCAATGCCATATAGTTTACAATAATCTATGCTTTCAAAAAAAAAAACATTTATAAAACTAGATATTCACAAATCTGAGTGAAAAAAGTCTGGGTCCCCGTCTCATCCCAAGTATCTGAATCTATTTTTAAAAAATCTCGAGGTCATTCTCAAATTCTCAAGTCCGGACATGATCCATCCATTTTCTAACCACTTTGACCTGCACAGGGTTGAAGGGGAGTGGATGCCTGTCCCAGCAAGCAAGGGAGTAAGGCAGGAGACTCCCTGGATGAAGCCAATTAACCTACCAGTATGTGTTGGGACTGTTGGAGGAGACCGAGCACCTGGAGGAAACCCATGTGAATACGGGGAAAACAATGTACAAACTCCACACAGACAGCAACCCAGGAGCCCCAGCACTCTGAGGCAGCCATGCCAACCACTGCGCCATCATGCCACCCCAGTCCAGACAATACTGCCTCACAAACAAACACTAAGAAAAACATGTGTGTCTAATCATTATATTGTGGCAAGACAAGCAATAAAAGGGTGAATCATGAATCGTTCTTGAAAAGCACACTCTGAATGAGTGTCATTCCTCTCCGAATAAAGCTTGCAATCAGTTTCCGAAGTTCATGCTTCAGCAAATTAGGCCAGATGATAAACACGTTGTTACTCATCTCTTGTGCCATCACCTTTTGTACCCTGCAAAGGAAGATCACATAACTCAGGTCATGTCTGGGAACGCTTACCCAAGGGGCTTAACAACTTAATGCAAATGCCCATTTTACCACGCACTGTAATCCAGACAAGGCTGTTCCATCTTCACTCTGCCAAGCAGAAATCACCACCATGTCAGTGACAGACAAAAGGTGGGTTAATGCTAGCCAGGACAAAAACAGCTTAGCTCTAAGCATGGTATAAACATTTAAGTGACCCAGATTTCTTCTCACAAGTTGGCGGGTACTTAAATGTGCTGTTGTGACACAACCTCGGAGCCTGATCTTGTCTGATCTCAGAAGCTAAGCAAGGCTAGACTTGGTCAGTACTGGAACCAGAGTACAGTAAGCCTCTGAGGAAAAACTGGGTTGCTCCTGTAAGTGGTGTTGGTGGACCAGTAGGTGGTGCTCTTGTGACCAAGGGTGCAAAATGCATAACAGAAAGTGCCAGTCTTTGAATTAATTGGTTTAATGTCTCATTCAACAGGTGAAGCATCTCTGATCCTACATCTGATCTACAGTACAGTGGAGATGTTCATGCAGAACAGCTGCTGCACTTGATCCACATAGACACTGCACACCCACAGTGATGTATGAAGTAAGTCCCCTCATGTTCATTGTGGTTGACAAGTTCTAAATGTAAGGAATTATTAATGATAAAGAAGGTCTTAAAACCATCCATTCCATTTACATAAAGGAACTTGATAATGCATGCCCCAAACACACACATGTAAACACGGCTGTCTAGGTCCACACATACACATGCATTTGGAGAATACATTTTAATATGATAATGTGTACAATACAGTACAGTATATACAGGCTGTATTAATGCTAAATATTGCTCTTAAAAAGCTTACTAACCCTTTGTCATCTGAGTTTTATATGCATTCATATTTTGTGTTCTCTCTCATATCTTTCTTAAATATGCTTTGTTGAGCAACAAAAGCTCAAAAGAGCCGGAGGCAGTGAACTCCAGTAAGAGAGACACCGTTGAGAAAAGGGATTCACTGAAATATGAAACTGCTATACAATACTGTTGACCTTGGGGTAGATTTCATTACTAAAACTAAATGCTATACAAACTAAGTATAGCCCCTATTTTGTATAAACCCTATAAAACCTATTTCTAGAATGCATACAGGAACTAACTTGTAGGGAAAAGCACTATCTTCTCTCGTCAGTTAATTAGTTAGCGAGCGGGGTATTGTAGGAGACAGCTCGATGCCCGCTGAAAGTACTTACAATACCGTTCTCTCAAACACAAATTTGTTTAACTGTTGACTGGATCAAAGCGGTTCAAGTTTTCGAAAAACTGCAGAATAGAACAAGTCATCCGTATTGCGTTTACGTCACTACAGTCATCTCGCCGCTACGCGCATAGCGGCATTAATGACAGCATAACAGCGCGCCGTATTGCATGATTCAGTCCAAGCATAAGATTAAAAAACGCCTTGAAACGTTTTACGTCTTGAAAAATTCTAAAGGCAACCGTATCCCTTATCAAATACAGAAGACACGGAGAGGTTCACCGCCGTGTCGTTACAGGCAAAACCTGACCCGACCCGATGCCGTCACACGAGGTGACATTAAAAACAACGTTACAAAACAGGGGTTTTAAACTCCACCTGGAATCGGATGGCCAATTCCCACAGCTGCTTCTTTTTGTAGGTGTCGTTGTCGAAAGCGTGTGTTTTTCTAAAACGCAGCTAAAAGTTAAACCAGCAAGGAACGCCCCCTGTAGGTATCCCATTACGACATACGCACGACATAAAAAAAGAGTCGGGAACGCAAACGGTGAGAATGCAGACACCCGGACGGCAGCGGTGAAAGACGGCCCTGTTTCCACGATACCTTTTTGTGATAAGGCAACGACACGGTGAGTTCCGGCGCCGAAAGCCTTCTGAAGAAAAACAGCGGGGAGCAACACCGCTTCACCATCGCCACCGCCATCTTTCCAGCGAGGATGCGAGACAGCAACTGTCCCGAGGCAGCCGGAGCGAGCGCATAAACACCTTCCTGCTCGCGTGCGTAACGGGGGGAGGAGTTGCGTCTAATACCCCCCCCCTCCTCCTCCTCCCACACGTTTTGCAAAGGACATTTCTTTCATGCAATATTACCTAAGCAATTACATTCGAAACATCACGAACGCACCAACACCATTGACGGATATTCATTTTGTAACCGATTCTGTTCGGATTCGTAATGAACTCTTGGCAGCGTTCTGATTTGTTCCCGTCTTTTTGGAGGCCGTTTCTCCACTTTTTTGTATTATTTTATGCTGCATTAAATTTTTGAAAAATAAAAGAGGGGTACACCTATTCTTTCCCATCTGCCAATCCGTTTTATTGTAAAGAAAAATCAACACAGCAGGAGGAAATGCTCAAAAGCTTATGAAACAGTAGGCTTACACAACCTTAACTTAACGTGCAAGAAAACTGGGATACTGAGGGACAGTGACAACTGCACTTTCGTCTGTATCTTAATAAAAGTCCGAACTCCACATACCGTACTTAAAAAAATATATATTTTATTAATGCTGTATTAATTGACCGTGTATTGGACGAAGCCGTTACTGAAAATTCAAGGTTGCCCGGTAAATGGTTGAATGGAAAAATATTTACGTGTAAAATGAAATATAATGATGTAGTTGTCTGGTGTATATTTATTCACTCCGTTATTCGTAGGGGGTGGGAATTTTTGAACTATTACTACGGTAACACTCTATCATTACTCGAAGACCCTATGAAACATGGCCCTCCGCTGCATTAATATAATCACGTGGTTCACTGCAAGCGCTGCTGGTCCCTTGTGACTGAAGGTCCTGAGGAAAAAGTGCGTCTGAACACCTGTGAAATCGCCTGAACATCCGAGTCGACTCAAGTGAAATTATACGTATAAATCGTATCGCGATTGACTGCCCTTTCCCACCGTTGATTTATGAAGGAAGTCGACGCGCTTTCATTGAGCTGCGTTGTATATTTTTCCGCCTTGTGATTTTTTTCGTGGGGCCGGGCGGTGTCTTGGGCAGCTCACCGCTGTTACCAGGCAGATCGAGTCCCAACATGGCGGCGACGGGGAGCGAAGAGGAGACGCAGTTGCAAGACATGGAGGAAGAAGCGGCCGGCGGAGAGAGGGAGATGGAGTCAGAAGAGGAAGGCATGGGAGTCGAAGGGTCCGATGAGGAGGAGGGAGACTCCTCGGACGATGAGAAGGAAAACGAGGCTGAAATCCAGCGCTTGGAGGAACAAGTAAGGAAATGAATGAATGGGGCTGGACGATATTGCAAGTGCACCACCGACATGGAATGATTCACTTAGCAAATGGTGTTTAATTAAACTGCAGCCCAGCAGTAATATTTTCCTTCTAAAGTCCTAACTGCACAAAAAAAATTACGAGCTCAAGGCGAATGCAGGCCGTGGAAACGGCAAAAGGCATATCAGTTGAGAAAACGCAATTGGACCGCTAATGAAAAAAAATGTATTTTATAGCTGCATATTCATACACGCCTGGGGATTTAAATTACTGCGCTATCTAGTCCTTTCCGACGCCCATTCATTTAGCAAGCAGGCGCACCGTATGCAGGTGAAAGCAACGTACTTACCGAAACGCAGAGCTAGCTAGCTACACTTCACAATCACCGTTGCTTCACTTCGGAGGTTGTGCACTTTAATACGAATGTAATTAAACTGTGTGTACGTACGTAACCCCTCGGTTTTGACACATTGCATCGCCCGGCGTGCTGCGCAGATTTGCCGAATGGTGCAGGAGGCTGTTGTAAATGCTGGTGTGCGGCGGGTTTGCATGTTTAGAGAAGCGGGGTTTATTTCTGTCGTCCTCTGAGCTCCCAGCGGAAGCCCAGAAGTCAGTAACGATCGTGTGCCCCTCTAGATATAGGTTAACCTCACGTGACGATTCCCCGATAAAACCCCGTATTTACTGACTTGCAAGTACTGTACTGTTTATGCCCGACACTGCTAGCAGTGACATTACTGAAATACAATTGACGAGTCGTTGCGTTTAATCCTTAAAATCGATCTTTTTAGCTCTCTTTTAGCGTTTGATTAACATAAGGATACTGGCCGTCATCCTTTTACCGGGTGTGAAACTTGTGCTACCATTAACCCTTACCCCTGTTCTCGCTCTTGTCCAGGGTGTCTGTAATCGGAAAAACAAGCCAGGGAAAGAAACAGGCGCAGAGAGTCGTTATGCGGTGAAATATTTTATGGGTGAAAGCAATGGAAGGCAATTAAGAGCTAAAGAGGAAAGTCGTCACACAAGAGCGGGGATCATAGCACAGAGGTTAATTAAATGTAGCCAAATGGACTTTAAATCCTTAGCAAATATGATCTTTCTAGTCTTGAATGTGTACATTGTATAAATTATAATGAGAATGACATGCTGCATAAGGTTGCATGTTATAATGATAAATTATGTATAAGGCTAAATAATGGGCTCCATTTACTTGGTGGCAGGGAAGGTATTGTCTGAGAGTGGAGAAACAGAAATCTGTTTTCACATGCCTGTGTTAGCTGATAACTGGCTTGGGAAGAAGACAGCGTTTCAGCTCCCTTACATATAGCCAATCTTTAATCTTTTGACGAAAGACTAGTAAGACAAAGTATTGCTTCAAAGAAATAAGCTTCATGGTCTTCTTTTCTGCTTTCCTCTTACAAAAGACCTGTTTGAAATGCCCTGTGTGCTATGTGTGATAAAGACCACAAGATCAACTTTAAAGTGTCCTATTGCCACAGCTGCAACCATTTTCACAATGCATGTCATTTAAGTAAAAAAAAGACAGGTGGTGTAAAATGGATATTAAGATGGGGGGGTTGCTCATTCATTAATTAAAACATTTCTTTACTGGGATGTGTTTTGTGTGGCAAATGGGCTTAGAAGCCTAGAGGAAATATTGGCTGTGCTTTTAAGCTAGGTGTGGCAGTAAGCATTGGTGCCTCGCAGCTCTTGAACCCTGGCTTTGATTCTGGACAGGGGCAGCTCCTGAGCTGTTTGTATGTTCTTCTTGTGTAGGATTTCACAGGGTGTTTCTAGACATGTGCTCAATAGGTGTGTGAGTGTGAGTGTCTCGAGATGGGACTGACATCCTGTCTTCTAGGGTGTTGTTTTCTGGGTAGCTGTGACTTTACCAGATTGTGGTGATGGGCCGGTAAAACCGAAGTTGCAGTGAGTTTTCTGTGTTATTCGGTGAGAAGACCTAGTAGTTTATGGCCCTCTTGTTCCCCACTCTGTATAAAGTACTGGACACTGTCTTGTTTTTGGGTGGACTGGGCTTTGCTTGCTCACCTGTGATGTGCTCTTGCCCAACAGCTGTCCATCAACGCCTTCGACTATAATTGCCATGTGGACCTGATTAAACTGCTCCGCCAGGAGGGGGAGCTGGTGCGTCTGCACAGAGCGCGACAGAAGATGAGCGAACTCTTCCCTCTCACGGAAGGTGGGTGGCCATGTTTTCTTTCACTGCGCTTATTCGTTAACCTGCCTTTAAACACCCCTTTCAGATACTGAGATTACAGGCTTTAGAAACATATGAGCCAATCTGTGTATTGTACACATTGGAGTCCACTGATTCACCAGTCTGACTGATCTCGATCACGAACATGGTCCCATAGGACAGTAGCTGTCTGTCACTTCCAGTACATGCAAGTGTTTGAAATGGAGCTGCAAAAATGGAAGTGAAGCTTTTTTTTAATATTCATGTCGGTTTTCATTCTTTCAATAAAGACCTAAATTGCGTGAAAAGGGGAAAACGAGCAAAATTTGAGCATCATCTTTTCCCTAGGTAAAAATGCATATTAACCCTGTCTTACCCTCGCAGTCCCTGCAAGCGCTCGGTTCAGATCTTTTGCACCTTGTACTTGTAGATGGATAGTTGAGACAGACTGCCTCAGTCCCGTGCAGTGATTTGTTTGTACAAAAGTAAAGGAAATACCTGTATTTTCTGTGGATAAATTTAAGTATTTTGTCTCATGCATTTCTACATAGAGATCTGGTTGGACTGGCTGAAAGATGAAATACGCATGGCAGATCAAGATTCTGATCGGGAGAAAGTGTATGAGCTCTTTGAGAAGGCAGTCAAGGATTACATCTGTAAGTAAGACTGTTTTCTTTTACAATTTATTAAAAATCTGGGCTCGATTGTGCTTGACCCATTCTTATTTTGCATACCAAATTAAGCCCTGCCATCTCCTTTATATGTTGCTCTTTGTCTTTGTGTTCCTTGAGTGATGTTAAGGTGCTTTATTAAATTCATGTGAATTTTGTGAATTGCAAAACTATCACTTTTTAACCACCAAAAGATATGTCAAACCAGAAATACTTTTAGGCTCAACGACATTTATTCATTTACCAAAAAAAGATGCTAATAGGTTATGTCTCCAGCACTGTTGTAACTGATTATTCATCAGGACTCTTTAATTTCCTGCCATGTTGTTTTGGAATGCAGGCCCCGAGATCTGGCTGGAATACGCTCAGTATTCCATTGGGGGGATCGGGACTCAGGGTGGGATACAGAAAGTGCGAGAGATCTTTGAAAGAGCCCTGACAGCTGTGGGCTTGCACATGACTAAAGGGACGGCCGTGTGGGAGGCGTTCAGAGAGTTTGAGAACGCTATCCTGGGAACTGTACAGGTAAGGCACGCCGGGCAGAGTGGTGCCTCTCCAGTCCTGGTCCTGAAATCAGTGGTCTCCAACCAGGCTTGTGGAGAGACCAATCCACTAAGTCTTACAGGTCGCTCTTAATCACATTTCTAAAAAATAAGAGCCCTTGTAAATGACTATATTAGGAAGTAAAAATGTGCTCAATTAAAGGAACCCTGTTCTTTGAGGCATAGTCTTCCGTTTCATATTATTTTAAAATGGCATAGTTTAACAAATCACCTGCAAAGGAAATTGATGTAAGTGTTTAGAAATGAGTGATTTCATGTTTAGTTATAAAACCCACTGAACTGGGGCTCTCCTGGACTGAGTTGGAAATGATCAATGGCAATTTGAATGTGGAAGTGTGTCAAGTACATTATGTGCTCATCTGCGGCACAGAGCTTGTATACGCACACTCCAGTAAGTATTGTGTCCACCTGGTCTGCGAGTACTTCACGAAGAGCTCATTCCTTTGCACCTGGAGCCTCTAGTATGATTTCGGTGTTAGTTCCCCATTGTTTTTCCCCTTTAGACAGATGCCTGCTAGTTCTGCTCCATATGGTTAAAACCTGACAATACCTTTTTATATCCACAGCCCCTTCCAGGCAGTGTTCCCACTCCTGAGCAGCAGGCGCTATTGAATGCACAGCTTGAGCGAATCCACACACTGTTCCGGCGCCAGCTGGCTGTCCCTTTATTGGGTAAGGTTTTCTGCTTTATTGGGGGGAAAAAAAGACAGCCACTTAGGAAGAGTTGCATTAGGCCCTTGGATGGAGTTCTGGCTCAGGGGCTCCAAACTCTGAAATGCCTCCCCTTGCTACTCTTTAGGTCTGAATGAAAAAGCTATTATCGCACGAGAGATGTAGCTGCACTTCACAGCATGTCAGAAGGCGTTTTTGTATCCTATCCAGCTTTTTTCAGTGAAAATGAATAGATTTTTTCACTTGAATCCCGTGCCGAAAAGCCAGACCTCGTTCGAGCGAGGGAGTCCCAGCCGTGTCTCGGTGTGGTTGGCCCACTCTGCCATGCCAGCATGTTCACCTGTGAGCTTGCAGAGAGTTGCCCTCAAGCCTGCTGCGGTCTATTAGCTTTCTTTGTGCTGTCTGTTGGTGTTTGCTGTACTATGCTTTTGGTTCTTAGAAAATGCTGGACAGCCTTGTGAAAGAGAAAAGGAAAATGCGTTATTTGCAAGCCAAATAATAATTCAGAAGTGTTGCCAAAGATGAAAATATTAAAAATACCTGAAGGTTACCATGCAGGACTGATATCTATACAGAGGACATTTCTCTCTCTCTTTTGTTTTCTTTTAATCTAGATATGGAGGCCACATACGCTGAGTACGAAGAGTGGTCTGACAAAGCTATTTCAGCTGCTGTTACTCAGCAGTATAAGAAAGCTCTGCAGCAGATGGAGAAGAGCAAGCCATATGAGGAGGCTTTGGTAATTATTTGTTTTTTAATCTCTTGTCTACATCTTGAGCATCTGCTACAAGGCCTTGATCCTTCAGGGCTCCAGCCCTCTGAACCTGTGCACGTCTTAAGCTTGTTTATTGACCTTCTATCCTCCCCTTGACAGCTTAATTCTGTCTCTGCAGTTCACATTTTAATCTTCCAACTATTTTAAGTTCAGACATCTTGTGTTGGGTCATGCTTTAGATTAAACTGCATAAATGAAGGTTTAATAGATATTTTAATTTATCATCAGTTTCCTATAAGATGCTATTAAAGGTTAATTAAATATCAATAGATATCAAGCGATGATCAGATTAGGTTAGAATTAGTGTCAATGTTGACAAGTATAATTTTTAAAAACATTTAAGAGAACCGCAATTGGTTAGATCAGTATTTTATTTATTCTCTATTCTTTTACACTTAAACTAAAGCACTGCTACTCTGTATTCTTTTTAGCTTTTTTTCATATGTTGTTGGATTTTTCAACAAGCCAGAAGTTATTTAATTTGTGAATATTATTGTGTTAGCACATATTAATTGATATGGACAAAGCACATGTATGATTAATAAGCGATAAGGTGAAGATTGCTGGAATCGTGTTAAAGAAAGTGTTATTGGCTGCAGTTTGTCACTTGCGTCCTGAAAATTGTGAACTCTCTTGACTATAATGTGACCCTCGGCTATGTCTGTTACATCCCCTCTGTTGCAGCTGGTGGCCGAGCCACCTAAATTGGCAGAATATCAGGCCTACATAGATTACGAGCTAAAGGAAGGCGATCCAGCTCGAATTCAGGTCATCTTTGAACGTGCGCTTGCTGAGAATTGCCTGGTGCCTGACATGTGGGCCAAGTACACACAGTACCTGGTAAGGAGCTGTGGAGCCAAGTCATTAAAGGCCAAATCTTTTTTAAATGACCTACATGAGATTTATATATATGTGTATAAAACCCTTTAGCGAGAAGAGGAGGGATTTGCACTAGGGACTCATGGAAATTTTTTGCATGTCCTTATTAGAATTTCTACCCCAGAGGCTTCAATAAATTTATTGTGAGCACTACAAAGTAAATAGATGATCATATTGCCAACATTGTTTCTAGTCTTGAGAATTTAGTGGAAAGTTATTGGACAATTAAGCAACTTAATTTAAAAAGGATAAAAGACGATCATTTTGAAAGTAGGCAGCATATTAGTAGTTGTTGTATGAACAGTATTTACTTATAATGTTTAGGAGGAAAGGACTGCCGACTATACGAGGCTTTCTTTCTGTCTCTTCAGGACAGGCAGCTGAAGATTAAAGATTTGGTCCTTTCCTCTCACGACCGTGCGGTGAGGAACTGCCCCTGGACAGTGGGCCTGTGGAAGAATTACCTGCTGGCCCTGGAGAGGCATGGCGCTGAGCACCAGACTGTGTCAGGTACTCCCCAGAGCGCGCCATCTTTCACTGGGAAAAATCCCTTCAACATTGAACCTGCTTCCTGAAGCTTTCTTGCACATTTGTAAACTCATTCTAAGCAAAATTTATGAAGCATAACAATCATCTTACATGGGAATGGACAAAACGGCTCACAGATTGGCTTGCACAGTGCTCAAGCAGATTACTCTGGGCATGCCCATCCAGGAAATGGTGGCAGTTGTGTCATTGGGAAAGGAATTGCCTGAGTAATGTTGGGTTTTTCTTTTGTAGACAACTTTGAAAAGGCCCTGAACGCCGGCTTTATTCAGGCGACGGACTACGTTGAAATATGGCAAGCTTACCTGGACTACCTGAGGAGGCGAGTGGATTTCAGCAAAGGTAGGGTGACATCTGAGGTCTTAAGTTCTGCATGTTCTGCAAAACATATTGAAATACTTTGCCAACAGCCGCTTTGTAGCTTTACAAACAGCCTAGGAATAAACACACGAGGTTCCATGTAATTAAAGTTTGAGCTTCAGGTCTAAGTAATTGTGTGTGTGTGTGTTCACACCTATTCTTCTGTTTTTTTTACTGATATTCACAGGGTTTGCATCACAGAATGTAATTCCCTTGTGTCTTGAGATGGATTTGAGCCTTGTTGTGCTGGCTGCGTTTTATGAGAAGACGTGTTTTACAGGGGTACCTCCTCTTTCTGTGTCTTTTCGCTGCAGAGTCGAGTAGAGAGCTCGAGGAGCTCAGGGCAGCTTTCACCCGGGCTCTTGACTACATGAAACAGGACGTGGAGGAGCGTGAGTTCAGCATTTGGTTTCTTCCTGTTGTGTGCCATCTTGGAGCCGAGCAGACCTGTGTACCGTGTTCAGTGTTTGAGATCAAAGTTGCGTGTTAATCTCTTGGATTACAATGTGCTGCTCTTCTTTAGGCTTCAGTGAGAGCGGTGACCCTTCCTGTACGATTATGCAGATCTGGGCCAGGATAGAGGTGGGGATTGTTTTATTTTTTCTGTTTCTGTTAAATTTAAATTCAACTGATTAATCTCAAATGTTTCCACTGACCGCAGCACAAGTAATCTGATCTTTGTTGCTCACATATTACTAGGCAGCCTGATCCTCTACACCTCTGTGTGAACCGAGTGTAAATACAGGGAGAGAGCAATATTGGCAGAGAGGGACAGTGATGCTGCTGTATCAGATTTGGGATTTCAGGGATGCTGTTCTGTCAAGTCCAGAGTTATAGTTATCTGTTACTTGCTGAATGCGGTTGTAGGACTACAGAGCCTACATGTAGAATATCGGATATGTTGCGGTTAGGAGCTTATATATGAAGGTCCCAAGTTTTGATGAATAAAAATGTTTATTGAAGGAGCTATGTCAATATGCCGTTTTCCAGGCGTTGCACTGTAAGAACATGCAGAAGGCCAGGGAACTGTGGGATAGCATCATGACAAAAGGAAATGCCAAGTATGCCAACATGTGGCTGGAGTACTACAACCTGGAGAGGTATCTACTGCTCTTCTCTAGCAGATCTTTACCCTAGAACACTTGTTGTCAGGATACTATCTGTGAAGTCTGAGATCTAATTTTAAACATCTGAACATGTACAAAATGAGACTTGTCCGACACTTGTTCAGTTTTGAAACTGAACTGGGACTGTAGGTCTTTTCTTGCTTGCATTTTGGTAGAGAGGCTGGCTGTGCTGTGCTCTGATGTGTATTTGGTGTGAATGTTAGGTCGTATGGAGACACCCAGCACTGCAGGAAGGCCCTACACCGCGCGGTCCAGTGCACCTCTGACTACCCTGAGCATGTGTGCGAGGTCCTGCTCACTTTCGAGAGGGTGGAAGGTTAGTTGCTATTTGGAATGTGCACAATATCCGGGTGTTGCTGGAGTTTTCTTTTCCTTAAAATAATTGTTCTCAATCTCCTTTTTAACTGGAGTTAGTATTCTTTATGATTCCACGTTTGTGGGCATTGCCAGAATATAACAACCCACCTGTCCTGCTTTCTCTTCCGATTAGAATTAAGAATTTTATTTTGGAAATTAAACATACATGTATGTTCCAAAAATGTTCTGTTTCTCTTCTTCAAGGCACTCTGGAAGAGTGGGACATTGCTGTGCAAAAAACAGAAAACCGATTGACCAGAGTCAACGAGCAGAGAGCCAAAGCAAGTCCTTTCTTCTAACATTCATCTGCATGCAGTGCCACAGGTTATGTGGCAGGTCTGACAGTGCTGAGCTAACTCCTGGTCCATCCACAGGTGGCGGAGAAGGAGGCTTTGCTGGCCAAACAGGAGGAGGAGAAGGCGGAGCAGAGGAGGAAGGCCAAAGCGGAGAAGAAGGCTCAGAAGAAGACCCAGAAAATGGGCCGGACTGGAGAGAAGAGGAAAGCTGAGGAAGAGGAGGAAGAGGAGGATGAGTGGGGAGAGGAATCTGGTAGGTGGCCGTGCACTCAAGTGACCGCTTATCAGCTGTGCAACATGAAACCTGTGTAGACTGGCATCATATGTCATTGAAAAACTGGTTCTTAGTGGCTTATTGCACAGAAATGTAGTAAAGAGTTGCTTTTGTCCCTTAGATTACCTTCATCCAAATGATAAATAATCCATGTCTTTACTAGGATCCTAACTCTTAAATCTTATTACTCTAAACTCAAGTCAATTTTTTGTTATGACATATTAGTCTGCACCATTTGCATGGGAAGTTCTTCATTTAACTAAAAAAATGATTTTCAACACTAAAGAACAACTTTTATAGCATGTTTCTCATCTTAACTTTTTAATCTGTTTAAAACCCCAGAACTGTGCTTAAGTGGGGGGAAAAAAGTGTTCATTTTGTCTACATCCGTATTGTTAGGTTAATTAGGTTAGGAATTGTCAGGCCTTAATAAATTCACCGCATATGGATCGCAAAAGATTCAGAATCCTACTCTGTCTATGAAAATGATTAAGTTAACTAAATACTAGCGAGTTTATTTTAACTTTCTTGTCATCTGAATCATTCCAGAACAGCCCATGAAAAAGCACAAAGGGGAGGGCGACCAGGGCTTCAGAGACGCTGGAGAAGAAGCCATGGAGACAGAGACTGGGCTGTTTGGCCGAAAAGCCCCCTTGGCGAAGACATCGGAAGTGTCCGCTGGAAAGAAACCCCAGGTGGCTGCCGCCAAGCAGGGCAACCAAGACAAACGCAATGACAGGAAAAGCGTCTTCGTCAGCAACCTGGCCTTCACCTTGGAGGACCCCGAGACGAAAATCAGGGACTTTTTCGAACGGTGTGGCCCTGTTGAGGAAGTGCGTCCCGTCTATAAACAGAACGGCACCTTCCGAGGGTACTGCTACGTGCAGTTTGAAGACCAGAAGACGGTCCCGGAGGCCCTTAAGCTTGACCGACAAGAGATGGACGGCAGACCCATGTTTGTCTCCCCTTGTGTGGACAAAAGCAAGAATCCAAACTTCAAGGTAGAGTTGTAAGGAGACCTAACCGGGGAAGATCAGGGTATGGTCATCCCATTGTCAGCCCTTGGAAGACTTTTAAGTAGTGTGGGGCATTACTCCTGCTTAAGTCATTACTGACTCCCGCAGTAGTATGAGAGAAGAATGTTTGTCTTAGGAAAATGGTAGTGAGGCCTGATATATACGGGTTGCTGGGCAGGGAAGCCGTGCAATTGGTTTTTCCACGTGAACTTGGACGACATTTGCATCCTGCTTTGGAGCAGGCATTGAGTAAGTCAGAGTCGAAAGCCACTTTATAACAGTGGTGGTTCTTTTGAAAAATTGCTCTCTCTGAATGTGTTTTGAACATGGCTTGGGCGGTTTTGTGATGACGTTGCCTCCATCTCCTGCCTCCCCTCCAGGTGTTCAAGTACAGCAGCTCTCTGGAGAAACACAAGATCTTCATCTCGGGTCTGCCCTTCTCCTGCACCAAGGAGCAGCTCGAGGAGCTTTGTAAAGAGCACGGCTCCTTCAAAGACATCCGCCTCGTCACCAACCGAGCTGGGAAACCCAAGGTGAGCGGGCACGCAGAAAAACCCCCCACATCACTCAGACCTTTCCACTTTAGAAAAATGTTCGAAAACAGTTTGGCGATGCGTTGGTTTTAGTGCTGTTCTGTTCTTGCCCGGGAAAGTAACATTACCCGACTGTGCGTCGGTGCGCTGTGGTGGATACCCGTGACTTTAGATGTCGTTTGTTTCAGGGCCTCGCCTACGTGGAGTTCGAGAACGAGGAGCAGGCCTCCCGTGCCGTCCTTAAGATGGACGGAATTGTGTTCCAGGATCACACCATTAAGGTGGCCATCAGCAATCCTCCCCAGAGGAATGTGACGGGCAAGCCAGAGTCCAGCAGACTCCTGGGGTCCATGATTCCAAGGCAACTCTATGGGGCGTAAGTATACCCTGTTGACTCTGACCTACTTCATGTTACAAAAGCAATAAGTCACATAAGTGGAAGGCAGATACTGTATTTCCCCAAAATAGACATGCTTTTCCCCCCAGGTTTCAAGGTTGTATTGTGTTTCAAAGGGTTGTGCTGCTTGCTTATATTTGAATACAAGTAAAAAAAAAAAATCAAAGTTGATATGTTTGCCACCAGAGTCCTAAACTCTGTGTGGAATTGTTTGCGCCGACTGTGATGGACTGCTGTTTCCAACATGTTATCCAGTGAAAAAAAAAAAGTTATATTCATTTTTGATTGTCAAAAATGAACAAGAGATCACAGTATGCTTTTGTGTTCAAGAAGAAGGTGATCCAGTGTGCTGAGCAGCATGGCAGTCGTTAGGCTGATTGGCAGCTTGGAGTGGATTTGCAGTCACAGCAGATATGATTAAGTTTAAAATCCTTAAGGCAACTCAACAAAGAAAGAGACAAAGTCTTGGATTTCAGACACCTGTGCTGGCTGTTCTTGTGCCTGTGTATGGTTTGTAACTGCTTGCTCGACCTCAAGCAATCGGGGGGCTGTTCTTCTACTGTGTAGAAGTTGTGTGGCAGAGAAACAAGGCTCGGGCTGTTCGAAATGAAACGTGACGGCATGTCGACGCCTGGGAATCGCAGCCCAATGCTTGTTTTTGTCCCCCGCATTCGGCAGGAGGGGGAAAGGCCGCACCCAGCTCTCGATGTTCCCTCGAGCGCTGCACCGACAGCCTGCCCCGCAGGCCAAGGCGGAGAACGGGACCCTGCAGAGCCAGCCGGAGGGCCCGGTACGAGAGGAGCCGGCGTCCGCCTCAGGAGCACAGCCTAAACCCCTGTCCAACGCGGACTTCGCCGGGCTGCTCCTGAAGAAGTAACTGTGGACATTCAGAGCAATGGGGAAATAACTGCCTTTTTAACACAAGCCATTTTGTGTCCTTAAAAAAAAAAAGAAAAATTGTAATTTTGCTGTAAATATTTGAAAACCCCTGTAGCCAATTCTATGAGAGAAAGCCTTAATGATCCAGGGCTCCACACATTCTGAAAGTCTTTTTATGGGGGGTGGGGGTGGGAGCAGACCAGCCTACATTTACTTGGAGATTGGTAAGCCTACAAATATTATTCACTTTTACAATATATAGATGTCTAGATTTAATAAAGCTCAGTTCATTTTTTATTTTTTTTATCTCCAATCCTTACCATATGATGTTTTATAGATTTACTTTTTACCTTGCGGCTTCTGTTAATTGTTGTTCATGAATGGGAAATACAGGGTTTGTAATCTTATGGCAATTTTTGCATACACCGTAGATCTTAGAACTTTAGTAGAAACTTTTACAGAATAAGAAATAAGATTGAATTTTGTAGGCATTCTGAAAATGATGCTGACAGAAACTGCATTGTATATAACTTCTCAGGATAATGGTGACGTAAAAGAAAGGTTTTCCTCCTTTGCCATTTTAAATATCTTATTTAATAATATGTAAGAACTGAGTTTTATTGAAGCTTTTAACAATATAAAGTGAAGCCTTTATATGATTAAAAATGCATTTAAGAAAGGTTGCCAATCTCCACATTTCATTCCAGCAAAAACAAAATAAGGTTAAAAGCACGATTTTGGTAAAAAGGTTTATCAGCAGATATGCAAGTGACATTTTTCAGATGTATTACTCAGAGAACATTACATTTGGAACTCCTTCATGTGACTAAGTATAAAAAAGTCTTTAAAGAAATTCCGCTAGGGAAACTACGTCCCTAGTGTTTTAAACAACTTCAAGGAGACAAAATGGAGAAATAGTCACGCTTTAAGTAAGCAATTAAAATATTTTTTTAGTATTGTCTGACTATTCAACCAGTTCTCTGCTTCTGCCTTCAGTTCTCAAAACCTTTTTGGAATTCCTACAAAGGGAAGTCTATCCCATACTAACCCAACTCATAATGAAACAAAGAACTCCTGTAACCTTTAATATTACCTTATTTTGTCTTTGCTAATTTATGGCACTCTTCATAGGCAGTTGTTAAGGCTTTTTTTTTTGGTTATCCATTGAAACCCAGTGTTCTGATTTGAAGTCTGGTGATGAGATCTCTCACATTGAGGGCGCTTATTTAAAAAAATAATCCCAGTTTTGCTGTTTTCCCAGCAGAGGTTGATTAATGTCTGTTAACTAATATTGCCGAGGTACAATCCCAGCCCGGGCCACATTGCAGATGAATGCTGTCTATACACAGTTACAAGCCTAACGCACCTTGCCTGGTTTGTGCAGCTTTCTCGGGAGTTTGAGCCAATATCAAAGGTAAACCTGGTTTTCTGAACACTTCTGTGTGATTCTTGTTGAAATCTATTCTGTCGCTGGCTTCATTTATCTAGTGTAGCCCTGCCTTAACCTGTATTCCTCCTGCAGGCATCATTGTCACTCCCAGATAAACGGGGGTTCAAGTCTCTATCCCAGATGGTGCGAGTCCGAGCCTAGGTTGTGTTGGTAGACAACGATGACTAGGAATCCCTAACTGGGGGCATATAATTGGCTGAATGCTCCAGAAGGGGGCTCTTTCCAGCAGACGGTGAATTACCAGGGACCTGTGCCCATAGAGTAATGTTACATGGCCTACCAGTCTCATTCTCTTCTGAGTGAGTACTGTATATAGGTCATTGCCAGACAGCCACGTCTTTAACAAAACTCTTGGTAAACCCAAATGAGTGTACAAGTAGTGCAGAGATAATCTACAATTCATTGACTCCCCCCCATTACTCAGGTGGTCCCATAACCTGCAGAAGGGAGAGGTCTGGGAGAAGTTCAAGATCCTGACAGATGGTGGTTTAGCTTTTGAAACCGGCGAAGAGGCTGCAAAAACAATTCCTCATTTTCCTCTCGTGGAAGCAGCTTGAGAAAAATCTATGCACCTGTTTATTGTAGGTAGACGTTTCTTTACGGAAACTTACATTTTCGTAGAACTGAAATGTGCTCTGTAAAATAGTCACCGATCTTCAACTAGCAATACCGTAATCATGGACTAAAATCAGACGAGTTGATGACCATTCAAGGAACTTTGCAGGACTCCTGGCCCATCCTCAAGCTCATAGGATAGCTGTGATATTTTCCTCTTTACGTTGATCTTTCTCCAAGAACACTACTTCATAAGTGAATGAAAATAAAGCCAACCGGAACACATTTCAATTGAAAAAACAACAACACTTACAGTGTGTACAGAAAACACTTCTCCCTCCACGCAGTATGGTTTTTTTTTTGTGGTAAAATTAAAAACAACAAATAGATTCACCAGCTAGCCTTTTTTGTTTTTGTTTTACTGACACTTAGAATCTGTTTTAGTCAGATGTTCAGTGCTCGCATCACCAATTGTTGACCATAGTTTTGTATAGAGTTTGTATGTTTTAAAACAAGAGGATAAAATTAGCGATTGCTAGTGACATTTATCACCGCAGTGGCCTATTTTAGTAAAAGGAATTAAGAAAATAAGCTTATGTCCGTTTGATGTTCCGTATCAATGGGTGGTATTCAAATTGTATTGACATTTGAAAATGTATTTTTTTTGATGATGTTTAATATGTTGGTCTGTTGACCTCAATGTTGGTAATTGTGCTGGAAATCATTTATTGAAGTTTTTTTTTAAGTTTTAAAATTTTAAATGCCGACAGGCAGTTACACATGGACCATTTTATTTTTATGCGTTTTTTTCTGGCTTTTCTTTAAAGGTTTCCTGATTTTGTTTTTGGCTGTTTCTGATATTGTACAAAAACCTAAGTCTTTTGTCTTCTCATGTGATTGAATTTTTGTGATGTTTCAGGCCTACAAAATGCTACATTAAAAGCAATTAAATATTTTTTTATTCTTTTCACTATAAATACTAACTGATGGGTAGAATTGCTGATGAAAACAACTGGAGACTCTGGACAAATAAAACTGATTTCATTTAAAATATTTTATGAGAAAAAAAGACAGTTTAAACAACCCTTTTACTCAAAGAAGGAAAATAATGTATATGTTAATAAACACACCAGTCACAGAACTTATGTATAATAAAATAATTTTATTGTATAATAAAATAAATAACTTTTTTAAATAGTTATGAAAGTGCAAGTCAGTGTTACCACAGCAGGCAAGGAAAACTAGAATTATAATTATTTTAAACAACTATAACAACATGAGGTGTAAGAACCTTCTAGAATACTGTAAGCCTTCAGTGAGAACTTCACAATGAATCTCATGTGCTGTACTATTTTTGTAAAATGGATATTTAATCACAGTCAAACCATGTTCATATAATCCACTCAAGGGGAGAGTCTGAGACAGTACCACCTTTAGTATGGACAACTGAGGCAAAATGCTTCAGTGTATCAGCAAGTTATGGGTCTATAGCCTGTGGTACAAGGGAAAGTGTATACAAGTATAGAAATATGTACAAGGGAGGAATTTTCAGGTGAAAAAATCAAGTGGTGCACTATAACAAAGTCATATTACTTTAATTCGTCTCCTTCTTCTTGCAGCTGTTTTAATAATTAGGAGTATTCTATCTGCATGTGGTAACCAATAAAACTCCTATCGGTATTTGTAACTATGGGGCAGGATCACAGAGTCTAACTAGCAACATATTGCTACAACAGTCCTTCAGCTGTTTACACCAGTAAGTGATAAAAGGCTTTGAAACCATAGGAAATGTAGTTGCTTGAGATATGGCACCAAGCCACGATAGCTGTAGTTGGCTGTGCCAACTGTTCAACAAAAATTAAATTAATTTTTTTTACAAATACAACAAATGGATGTGGCTTCCTATCCACTTATTCTGATAAACATCCAATTTGTACTTTTAGGAGCAGTACTGAGATTGCCTTAGAGAAAAACAGGCAGACTATGAATAAGATTATTCAAGTGAAGTTGAAGAAATCCCACATCTTTCTTCAAACTACGGTGGTCCTAGTCTCTGTGGTAAGTTTGTCAAGATAATAATCAGACTCTCAAACAGCTTAGTTACTCCACGATTTCTTCTTCCTTTTAATACTTTTCACAAAGCATTTTATCCATTTTGGATGGTAATCCAAAAAATAAATATTCCTCTTGTGAATGAACGTCAAATACACAGCAACTAGTTCACACAATCTTACAACGTGCCAGCACTGAATAGAATTTAACCTATAGATTTTCGAACGCCTATGTTCATGTTGACACCTTAACACAACGGCTGAAGGGCTCCTGTACATCCTGGAAAAAATGAGAATTGGTTATTTTGGCAAGTTTCTACTGTAACATTTGCCCAAGGTTCTTCCTCGAAGGAGAGTAGTTGCATGCCGGTATCAAAACAGGCGCCAGAAACAATCACAGGCGCCAACTGGCTGGCATGCCGATACGGATCTGGCCGTGTGAAGTGTCAGTTCTTGACCGGGAGGGTTTGCTTGCAGTCTGAACAGGTCTGGTGGCTGGAGGCTGGCAGGCCCACCGCGTGTTCGGTGGTGGCAATGAGCAGAGTGTCCAGGGTGATCTCCGTGCACTTGGCGATGAAGCGGATGAAGGGGCGCACGTCGCCCTCGTTGGCCGCGTCCAGAGTGCTGTAGTACTCGGCCCGCTGCTCCTTGCGGATGGTGATGGGCGGGTACCCGGCCTGCATGAGGATCAAGTTCATGAGCAGGCGGGAGGTGCGCCCGTTGCCGTCCACGAAGGGGTGAATGTAGACTAGCTTGTAGTGAGCAAGGGCGGCGAACTCCACAGGGTGAAGATTCATGGCTTCCTCCGAGTTGAGCCACTGCACCAGCTCCAGCATGTGCCTGTCCAGGTCCTGGGGCTGAGGGGGGAGGTGATGCCCCACGAACACCTGGTTCACCCTCAGCCTGCCGCCTTCCACAGGATCCACGTGGCCCAGGACCCTCCTGTGGATCTCCAGGATGTCGGCGATGGCGAACGAGCCGATCCGAGACAGCAGCGTGGTGTTGATGTACTTCATGGCGGCGTCCACTCCGATCACCTCGTTCTGCTCCAGCAGGCTTTTCCCCGGCACGGCGTACCGGGTCTCGATGATGTGTCTGATCTCCGACAAGGTTAACGTGTTGCCCTCGATGGCCACGGTGTGGTAGATGTGGTGGTAATACGTCTCCTCCATCACCCTACGTAGGGCTGTGTTGCCCTTGGGGATGGACATGAGCTTACGCACCTTGCTGTCAATGATGCTGAAGTGGCGCTGGTCAATCTCCTCCACCAGAGGCAGGGTCCGGTCCCGATTGACCAGGGCCTTCTCATTGCAGGGGGAGATGGCTAAGGCTTTAGAGTAGAGGTGGTCAGCCTGGATGACATCCTTGTCCTCTTCCAGGATGGCCCCCAGCTCAGTCAGAGCTTCTACAAAGTCAGGGTCCATGTTGAGTGCATGCACCAAGAGCTTGTGTGCTTTGTCTCTCTTCCCCTGTCTCTTCATCTCAACGGCCTGCTGAAGAGCTGCTTTGGCTTCGAACTGGAGCTCTAGAATGAAATAATACACCATCCATTTTGGATCTGAATATTTAAACAACAAAAGACTCTGCCCGTTAGAAGGAATATCACCTACATTACTCTTTCCTTTCTGAGAGCAGAGTCCCTATCCACAAAACAAGGCATTTTGTACTGTGAAACCATGCAATTGCAATACTTCCAAATCTACATGCATCTACATACAATCTAGTATAGTCATTCCATTCTACATTCAATTGCACAAAATCTTAGCTTGTTTTTCAAATATGATATTTTTATTCTGTGATAAGTAGTACAAAAATAGAAACAGTTTTGTAATGAGATAGTTGTTGCATTTGTAACTCTTTGCTGCAGAATTCAAGTAGTTGGACTGCCTCTTCTGCTTTCCTGGGATTCAGAAGATGCCTATTAATTATGTAATGGGCATAAAAGAGCTGAATGGGTGAAAAGACACTGGACCCATTTCACTGTGCCAGGCCAAATATTTACAAGCAGCAAGCAAATGTGATTAAGCACAAAAAGCTGATAAGCTATCCGTATTCCAAGAAAAATACATCTGACTCCATAGCTGAGGTGGCATATTGGCGAGAATTCCACAGGTTTCATGCCATCTTCACGGAAAACAGGAAATACAGGAGGTTGGTTGATAGCATTTATGACAAGCTCATCTTATTAGCTTCTTCACCAGCTTCCTGCTTGTCTGCTGGCCAGACACCAGCATGACCAAAGCATGTGCATCTCCATTGACCACTTGAGGACGGCTCACCTGTGCTGGGCTTGGGCTTGTAGGGCAAAAGGTCCTGGCCCGTGTAGGGGACGGTGAGGCTGGTGGAGTGCACAGCGGATCGCCAGTCATTTCCCCACAGGTGGCACCTCAGGAAGGACAACCCCTTAAGCGTGGCGCGGCAGTGCTCCTCCACTCCGGCCAAGGGAAGGAGCAGTGCCAGCAGCGAGCCCCCCAGCAGGCACAGCAGAGGCGTCCAGCCGCTCAGGAGCCTGCCGCCCGCATAGCGCAAGGCAACCGCCGCCATCAGCTGGAACATCGCCCCCTCCCGAGGAGCTCGTCCACCATGGCGCGCCCGCCGCGAGTCCGGGGCAGCAGCCCGCGGGTTCTGGAAGAGGCGAAGGAAGACACCGCCGTCGGAACCAAGCAAAGCGCCAACACATGACGTGACAGGTGCCTACGGGACGCCAACATGCCACTCGGAAAAACCCAGAGGCCGCACCTGCTTGTGCATCAAGATCAAGTTCAGATCCGAATGCAAAATGGCACCGAGAGATATTATTACATTCCCCCCCTCAACACCTTTTACTGTTCAGTTAACAGAAAAAGTCACTGTGTCCCGAATTGCATTCACGAAGTGCACACATACGGATAAACCAATGACTACGCGAATAACGTTAATTCAGGTCACGGAACACAGCAATATCTTGAACGTCGCTATGACGAAGTAGCTACGGTAGCTATCGAAGTGATAAAGCCATCAAGATGAAACTTTACATTATACAATATTTAGCATTACATACCGTAAAACGATAACGTTAGTAGACATAATTAAAACAAATGTATGGGATCCCTAGATGTTTGGTTAGGTTTTTATTTTGTCCCGCATATTTCATGACAAAATCGCAACAGTGGCCAAACAGCTGCCAAATCTCCTGAAATGGATGTTAAACAACTTTGGCGTCACATATATACATCAATTAATATACATCGAATAAAATGACCGAAGTTAAGAAACATAACAAGAGAAAGGAATTTTTTTCACCTCTTTCCACCTCAAAACCAAGTAACACGTTTGTATCCTGCAACAGACAACACGAACAGGCCAATACACATTTAGTAATATTAGATTAAAAAGATTCTGCTAGCCTGAAATTCTGAACGAGTGGATACAGATAAACTGTTAAATTAAGAAAAGCATCGTTATCTTAAAAGTATCATTTCCAGCTACGGCTATAATTAATAAAGCATTAAAACTACACTCACCACTGTGAATCCCGATGATGCAACCACACTAAGAAAAGAATGTCAGTTTAATCACCACATGAGCAGTTTTAACTAGAAATCTGCTTCTACAGTAGTTGAAATACACATCATCATCAACTCAACACCCAAGATGACAGGAAGAGGCTGGTCTGTATCCTTCAACGCTATTGGCCCGTTATAGTTTGCTTCTTAGCTATGATTGGTTTATTCCTTGCGTGACGCACCTTATTAGATACGGAAATTCCGGCTCGTAAAACTATACGATTGGCCGCTGGAGATTCGTAATCCTCCGTCGATTGGCGGAACCGGAAGGTATCCACCTATTTTTCCATATTGATTGGCAAGTCCTTTACGAAGCAGTTTTTTTTTGCTGCAGTATCAGTACCTTAATACGTTATTCTGAAAATCGTAATAACATGCAGACTGATGCAGTGATCCACCAAAAAAGGAGAGATACTTTGCGTCTACATATATTAATAGGAAGAAGGACAAGAAAGTTACAATATAGAAGGTAGCGATGGAGATAATATTTATTTTGTTAACGAATAGAGGCACCTAAATTAAAGTAACTGACAGAACTTTGGAATGGGTTACTGTATCTTAAGTAACAGGCTCCAATGTTTAAGATTTTTATTTTTTTGGACACAACCCTAACGTTTTCTCATTTCTTTTTCAAAATATCAACAAATTCACTTAAAAATAACACACAGTTACAAACTGCACCATATACAACCGCTGTGTTAACGTTTTTAAGATTCTGGAGCCGACTGAAACACAAATTGGACGCAAGATGTCGCTACAGATCTTGCGCCAGAAAAAAACATCCTACATGCATTGGGTGTAAAATTGAAATTTGTAATTTGCCCTGGTCATGTAGATCCTCAGTCCAGCAAGTCTTGCAGGTCAGCCTTAATCACCTGTTATTAAAAGATTAAGAGCACTTGTTTAAACAATTGGTCAATTAAGCAAGTAAGTTATCAGTGAAGGTATCACTGGTTCTTGGGGAATGAACAATATTCTGATTTGTCTTCCAAATGATGGGCAGCGCTGTAGCGCAGGGGTTAGTATTGCTGCCTCACAGCACTGGGGCCCTGGATTCAATTCCATAACTGGGGTAATATCTGTGTGCAATGTGTGTCTTCTCCCCTTGTCCTCAGGGTGCTCCTGTTTTCTCCCACAGTCCAAACACATACTGGTACGTTAACTGGCTTTTGGGAAAAACTGTGCCTCCCATCCAGGGTATATCTGGGGTGCACCTGCTGCTGGCGGGGCAAGCCTCTGGCACCTCTGCAGTGCTGTATTTGACGAATCAGTTAGAAAATGGATGCATAGATGTACCCAATTATATCTAAATTGTTTAATTGAACACACCACTTCTTTTATTGATCTCAGTTAAATTGTTCCATACTTTTAAAAATGGATGATTTAAAGGCAGCCCGAAAAAGCTGCTGAACTGAGGCTCTACCGGACCTGGACTGGAGCATTGGACAACGAATTCCATTTATCTTTTTGTTAAGCATCTAAAAAAAAATCATATATTATAGCCTCAAATGCCTACACTATACATAATATATACATTGTTTGCTGCAAATAGCATTATAATCTAGCATAGTCCTATGTTTGTATTAAGAATTAATAATTGTAGTAAAGAGCCCAAAGAGACCACTTGAGGTTGGGTCTTTCACTGTTAGGATTACCATTTTGGCAGGTCTATATATCCAAAGTTAATAATAAAATTCAAAAGACTCCTTGATTTTATCAATGTTTCTTTAAATCAATGCTTGTAATAAAATAAAGTTTTTTTTCTAAGCTGAACTGTGGCATTAACAAACAAGGATGTTTAACACATATACTGTAAATGAAGGACTCAGATCAGACTGTATTTTTCATTTTCTATTGCAAAGATTATAATATAAGTTATACTTTGGAAGAGTTTTGAAAACATCACAGCCAGGCATGCGATGTTCTGCTACTGTTCAAGATCTGCTCTAATACATACATCTGTTTATTGTTTTTTTGGCAGTGTGCAATTCTTGTTCATTTGATTATACTGCCATCTGTTGGTAAAAGGCTTGCGCAAGCAGTCAAAATAGTTTGCAGAAAATCATTCTCATCCATATTCAAGAAGTGTACAATGAACACTTGTCAAAAAATGACATCTGAATGGTTCCAAGATTTCAACAATGTCAGTCTCATGAAAAAGCAAAACTCTTCATTTAGGATTGTATTTGTTTTAGTTAAATAAAGATTCTGAAACACAGAACTCCTACAAGAATAAGAATGTGTTTTCTCATGATCATAAATGCAATCAAGGCATTAGATAGCTCTCACATCTTACAGTCAGTTTGATTTTATAAGCAGCATTGCAGGGGATCTGTAGGCCTTTTATGAAGCACTGGGCTCTTTTTTACCAGTTATTGACATTCACATAGTCAGTCCAGGCAGGATCCCTTGCCTAATGATGCTAATAAATAGCAGATTAGGTTTATTGTGGTGCCCTTTGTGTTGCCTGGAAACCTCAGCTAAGAAATGAGAATCTAATACCTCTCCTTTTGTACAGGACAGGGAGCGCCTCCGAAATGCGGACCATTTTTGAGTTTTTTTTATATTTATTCATTTCCTGCCACTGAAAGATTGGACTATTGGGTTTCTGCCAAGAGAGGGAATAATATAGTTTACTAAAATGAGACCTTAATCCTCAGCTGGACTCTATTGATATTTATCAAAGCAGGTGCTAGCATGTTCCATCAGTGTCTTTGCAAATGGGCTCCCAGCAGAGTTTGACAATACCCCAGAACAATGCAGGGGGTTCTGGTATAGGTTAGTGTTATTTAACAGTGCATCAATTGGTCCTGACATGGACACAGAGTCAAAAAGATACTAAAATACTGCTATAAAAAGTACAGGTTTGTCAGCTTCTTCTCACTTTGTCATTTTTGCAGTCTTGTATTTCAAGAATGTATCTTTTATGTTTTTTTTTCCCTTAAAGATTAAAGTTGTCTGTTCTTCTTTTCCCATTTTGTATTCTGCCAGCGGAGAACCTCCGGGAGGAGTCTCACTACTACAAAGTCTGTGTGCCACGGGACAGAAAATGAATCTTCCACATGCCAGTTGATATTGAACACAGTGTTAGATGCAGAATAGCTTGTAACACAGTGAGCACTGATCTGAGCCGTTTATGCATTGCTCATGAACACCGCAAGGTTTCTGGATCTGGTGAGTCACAGGGGTTACTATCTAGGTGACCTTGAATGACCCATGCCCACCCAATTATGACAGTTCTGACCACTACTGGCTTATTTCATGATCCTGGCCCTCACCATCCCATCTTTGACAGGAAGTCTCTTCTCAAGGACAATTCTGAGACCTTCTGTGGAGGTTGAGGAGTGAGTTAACATCTCGTACAGCAAACTTTAGATACGTCATACCATTGAAGACAGGAGCCCCATAACCTTCAGGCAGAAAGGAGTGATTTGTGAGAAAAGCAGCCACATTGCCCTGCAGGGTCTTCTTCACCTGTCATTTGATTAGAACTGAAAAGATAGGCTGATTGCTCCTGAATCAATATTCTTAGTTAAGTAGCAATTACTTTCAGGAATGCATTGATTTCTTTTTCTCAGCTCACATCAACCGCAGAGGACTAAATCTGTGACTAATGAAGAATAGAACCTTTTTTGTAAAAAAAAAACTATTAAAATGTGAGATGAAATTGTAAGGGGCTTAGCAGCTATAGAATGGAGGCCTCACAAAATCTTTAAATGACTCTTATTTTCATTGAGATAAAAACACGGTGTGAAGCAAGCTTGTCTAATTCTTCAGATGAATAATATTTTATGGTCATTTTTGAAGATGGGAAACGCTAATTACACTGGAGTAACACCATGTTAAGCAAGATTAACAGTACCACAAGAAATGGTCAATATTTGTCAGTTTTTGGTCAAGAAATACTTAATGTTTTGGCAGGACTGTTCTCTCTTTTGATCATGTTGATATCTACTGACACAGGATGACATAGTTACTGTATGTGCTCTATTGTTTAATAGTGAATAAGTTCTTTCTGCCTCAATGATAGGGGTGTTCAGTCCTTGAGATTGAAGAACCAATGGGTTTTTGGCCCATTGTTTTCTTTGTTTTGTCCCTCAAAGATCTCATTTTCGTAATTGAATCAATTATGTACAAAACTGAATAATCTAAGATTCATTTCCGGTTGTGAAGCAGTTGGAGGTTATCTACAGTACACCTGCAGGAACTGAGACATCAAGTCACTCACTGCTGTTCGAGGGCATCACTGGAATTTTTTTCCTTTTACGCTAGTTTGGAAAGCACGGGCAACCTATTTTATGCAAGACACCTGTAGATCATTTAGTAAGTATGTATATTCAGTCCAGGAAGGGCTCAGATTAAGCTACGTAATGTTTGATTGCCTTGCTTAATATTTAAAAAACTGATGAGCCTGGAAAAAAGAAGCTTCTGCCCAGGGGAGAAGATGATGAAACACAGATAAGCAGAAAAATGAAAAACGTCTACCCATTTCCCTCTATTCTGCTGTAAATACAGTTTCTACATCTCAAAATATAAATCTTGAACCCACGGGTGTTAGTCTTGAAATCATGATTAAAACTGGGGAAAGACAAACACTGTGCCAGACTGCAGAATACTGATGAAGTCATTGGGAATTGACAGAATTGGGTTTGTTTGTAGTTTATTGCAATGCAGAATATCTAATTTATGGGTCTATGTTTTTTTATTGCTTTATCTGTTTGGAGCAGACACTGATGCACTGTGGAGAGTGAAGCATTTGTTGGCTTTGGGATTTGTGTGCTGTTCCAGAGCCATTCCCAGCATTTGGAAAATTATACCAGATGATATCCTCTTATAACACAGAATGGACTGACGCAGTTAAACTGCTCTATGAGCAGACGTCTTTGAATGTGTAAATGCAGGAGTGATCCTAAAACTCTTAATATTTTTGTATGTGACATTCAGCTCCACAATGAATAATTGGTTTGAACCATGCTTGAGACCTTGACCTTCACTGTGTTGCCTTTTATGCACTAGAAGTGATACCTGAGCTAAATGAGAAAAGAGATGAAAGCCCTCTACAGGGGTAGGATAAGTACAAATGGATTGTACAGCT